TCCAGCCACCCAATGCCTGTTTTGCCTTGGAAATAATCAACTAGCATATGATACCCGGACATATTCATTCTCACGCACGGATCACCTCCAAAGGCATGTGCGCGACACCCATCTCCGCTATTTAGCTGCAGATGCTAAGTTTCTATGCCCTCCTCCAGCGTGTTTGGAGAGGGTTCAGGGAGTTATGCATTTTAAAACCCTCACGGCTTTGATACATAAAGTTTATCTTTGATTTCTACTTGCCCACCTGTTATTCTATATTTCCCAGAAGAGACTTTCGTCGACAAGTTTTGCAGATCAATTTCTACCTGGATAGGTCATATGGATTCGTCATTCATTGTCTCCCTATTGCTATTTATGTGTACCTAGTCTAATTTGCCCTAAGTGGTTAAGAATACATTCCCTAATCTGCTAATGTATTTCTTCCGCCGCTCACCACAGGGTGGCTATTTACTCTACTACTTTGGCCCACATATCTGCTTTGAACGTATCCGTTCAAACAGCGTGTGTTGAATAAAGCGTATCAGAATAAAGCTTCGTATCTCCTCAGAATATCTGATGATCTACCGACGAAGGAAATATATATTTTATCTTTCCTGCCCTCGTTTTATATACACCGGAACACGAGCAAATGATACATGCTGTATTCTGAAACAGCTTTCCAGCTTGCATCACCTAAACTCTTTAGCTCCTATCCAATGTCTGGGCGATCAATCAAAGATGTATGTTATGCGTCAAAATAGCGTGCTCTTTGAAATGTTTAACACCATCTAGCACCTCCAGGCACGATGGATGGGGGCACCAGAGTGGAGTATTCGCATTATGGTATTGGAGGTGGCAGTCCTGGACATGTCTTCGAAGGTGATCAGGGCGTGAAAAAGAGTATATCCGCGAAGAATGCGGCAGCTGACTATCTCCGAGACAGAAGAGGCACTGGGTTCCTGGGCACAAAATAGGAAAGGTGTCCGCGTCAATTATACCATCAGCCTGGTCGATATCGAATCCGCAACTGGAAGACAGAGCCTTCCGCCTGCGTGTCCCTTCCTGCAGACTGCAGAGAGAAACCCAATCCTGAATTGTCTGCACTCGCCGGGCATAAATCTCGTGCGGAGCTTCAGTTGTGCAGTCTGACGAGCGGAAAAGATTCTGTGCAAGCCTGGCTCGTTCCTTAAAGGTAAACTTGACGCTACTTTCATCTTCCCCCTTGAATTTGTCGCCACCAGATAACCCCAGAAGCTGTTTTTCGATTTCAATAGTATCTATTGTTGCAAAGAATTCCTCCCTCATACGGTCAAATGCCTCTCGATATAGCGACGGTTTTTCAGCCCTGATATCATCTCCAAGTTCAATATATTCGCGATGCAGTGCTGTGCCTTTGGCCTTTGGGATAGAGCCATGTTTTCTGTTTATAAGCTTGGCCAATGACTGATGCTGGCCGGAAAGCTTGACAAGCCTTGGGTCCCGCTCGACTGCAGCCTTTTGCTCATCACTAAGTTCTTTTGGAACACGGGGATCACGTGTGAGACTAAACCTCCCAACGGCGTTGATAATGGATTCTCGAGCTGGACAGCCAATATATGCAGACTGCACGTCCCACTTGACCTTCTGCAAGATATAGTATCGTTCGAAGATGTCCGCTCGCGAGTGGCCCATGACTTGATTGCGTTCACTTGTAGTTGCAATACCTAAAATGTATAAATGTATTAGAATACATTGATGTGGGGATTGAATATAGGTAATAGGTAAGGAGACTCACTATCAACCGCGTTAGCAGTTCCTCGCCTAATGCAGTACGGTGTCAACTTGTGCTCGAACCCTGCATTACGACCCAGTCGTTGAAGATATTGATTGAATGTATCATATGGCAGCGTCCTATCTGGAGATATTCGAACACCCTGTGCTGTACGTACAGCTCGATGGAAAACAGGGACGTCAAGTATGTTGGATTTCGATTTCAGTTGTATGCTGTTTCGGGGTGCCTGCACTTGAATACGAAATACATCCTCAATTGAACTAATGCCTCGCGCTTCAAATGTGTCAGCAGCGAGCGCTAAGGCAAGGAAATGCGATACGGGGCAAATGGCGAGGTTATCATCCTGTTCATGGAAGATGTAAGTTGTTCTATGCGAAATTTTTAGTTATATTAATACAAGATGCCGGATAGGCGGAGCTCACGGTTGTGACTTATTTCACTTTCCCTTCATGAATAGAAGAGATACTTCCATCACAAGGACATGCTGATCCGGCTGATCTGGGTTAGGAATAACTCCAGCATGATATCTTTGTAGCAAAGGGCATCGTTGGACCCACGGAGACAACCGCTCTCGATAAGGGTCCCCGGTCGCGAGGAGGTGTAGGCGATCATTAGCATAAGCAGCGGTAGTTGCACGGTATATCGTTCGTGGGTGACAGATGCTGTATCTAAGCACCAGTTGGTAGTGGAGAATGGCCACGAGATCTTCGACACCAACTACCGGCTTGAATTTTATCGACAGGTCTAGGTCGTACTCGTCCGTCAAGGGGCCCAGAACTACCTTATAAAGGAAAATGAGTTAGAATACTTAAGAGGAATAATTATTATCGAGCTTGGACCTTACCTCACTGATTTGTTCTCCGACCAATTTGTCCAATTTGTCCACCTTCCGACCTGTTTCTCTCTTGAAGAGTAACCGAAGGAACTTCCATTCGACCCAAATAGTGCTCTGTTTCTTGATGCTGAAATTCTTCAGTCGCCAATCAATGTAGACCCGGAAGTTCTCGGCCACACATATGGCGAGATGTCGATGGGCATCAACTTTCATAAACTCGCAGTGGCTTCATGAAGCAATTGTTAGCACGGTTTAGTGTAGTAGGTCTGCTATGGATTGCAACTAACCGGCCCCAGAAGCCATGTACACGGTTGATAGAAATTGTGGTGGCATCGGCGTATTTTTTGCCTGTAATTTGGAACTGAGCCACTCGAGTGATATCCCTCTCACGGTATTCACCTGGAGTAAGTTTATGGCCTTTCGTCTTTCGGTCTCGCCGTCCCTCTCTGATGGGTTTGCGGGAGTTCCAGGTGTGAGTCAATTGGGCTACCATATTATCTATACAGTGCCAGGGCGCATAAGACAGGGATGCAAAAGTGTTGAAAATAGGATCAGCAGAGAAGTTCTCTTCGTAGATAGATAGATGTAGCTTGGGATAAGGTAGCAAAGGAGGTCTGGAGTAAAATAAACGCCCAGAATGAGCGAAAGGCCTTTAATTTATACATTACAAAAGCCAAAGGAGAGGAACGATAACCCCTATCCTTAAACGTGTGTTCAGACATCGGTAGCTCATAGAACAACATCATGTATCGCAGCGACCAATTGAAGGGTAGGTACAAATATCGCTCGATATAAAAGCGGCAAGAAATTTCGGGTCACGTGAGGGGAAAGCAGGCTGAAAACTGTAGGCTACTGGGGCAAAAGAGCTCAGTCACCACCAGCGCTGCTGATAGAAGGGCCGATCAACCCCCGGGACCCCCAACACCCCCCCTCAGACCAGCTAACCACAGAGTACAGTGGCTCCTCTCAGTGGCTCCTCTTAGTGGCTCCTCCCAGCAGTCTTTCTTTTTGGACTCACTCCTAGGGCTCATTCTTTCAAGGGCTAACTCCTTAGGGCACACTCCTAGGATGTCTCTTGGCACTGTTAAATGTCTGGGGTATTTGTTTGAGATTTTCTTAAGTCTATTCTGAGATTGAACTCATGCATGTTGATCACAGCGGGGCTCACACTTAACGGTCTCATAACCTGTAGGCTACTGGGGCAAAAGAGCTCAGTCACCACCAGCGCTGCTGGTAGAAGGGCCGATCAACCCCCGGGACCCCCAACAAAAACAGCGTCAAATATGGCCACTTTTGGCCCTAGTACCCCCATCTTACAGACTAATAGAGGTATCTATCTAGCCCCATTTGCTTAACCTAGAGCTTATTATGCTGATAATGTTTTCCGTTCCGTGGGCTTGGTACGGTACAGTCCCCCTCTTACCAACAACCAAGGATACACCTGGCACCAAAGCAGGGAAAATTAAAAAATTAAAAAATTAAAAAATTAAAAAATTAAAAAATAAAAAGTAAACAAATAAAAAATAAAATAAAAGTAACAAACAACAGAGTTCTGTCCAATCTCCTTCCAAGAAATGCACAGCTGTCTGGATAGTCAACATGGTACGTAAGCTGGGACTGAAGGCGCTTGCCGGCTATGGCGTTAAAAATCTTAGTATGGAATTCTATCCACCTGAGCTTCAAAGCCTGGGCTGTCTGATTCACCGAATTGATCACGAAGAAATGTTTAAAGAAGTTGGTACTGTCATTATTTGAGCAATAATATGCCTCACATAGTTATTCAAAACGCAAATTCATCATCTCTAGCAACGGTTTGGCTGCTTGACTAGTCGGCCTTCTCCCGATATGGATCTACGCCGTACGTCCCAGATACTACCGAATCGGCCTCACTTTGAAAAAGTGCGCTGCCGAAGCTACTATTGAGATTCTAAAATATCTTATTATTGTTTGATAATATGTTAACATCTTCTAAGCAGAAACCCCTCGATCGTTATGCCTACCTCGGAAACAACCCGCTGTACCTGAATAATTGCCAATTCCCCGGAGCAGTTCAATAGTTGAACAAGCTGCAGACCATTTTCGACGAATGAAGCTTCACCGACGAGCGAACAGGGGATAATATTTAGCCGCAGCTAAACAAGACTGGATTTTATGTTTCACATTATTGACCTTTCTCTTTTCTAGTGATCTAGGATACATTACTTCATAATATCATGATTGAGCATTATTGAGTATTAAAAATATAGAAAGTTCTCGGGTTCCATGGCCGAAAAACATTTGATGGCTTGACCAATCTCGGCATGACGTCTGCCCAGAGTCCCGGGAAATTCTCCCTAAACCCGATGGCTTGGCAAGCTTGAAAGTTTTCCGCCCGATTTTCATCATGACTTTTTCCTTTTTCGGCCTTCTTGCCGGCAGTTGGTTGATAAGGATGTTATTAGTTATGGGGCCTGAAGCGGGCCATGAAAGATATGACTGGCCCGATTGCTGTAGACTGGGTTGATGTGGACTGACTTTTTTGCTCAACCAAAATTTCAAGATGTCTCCAGCAAACCCAATCCATGATTTTTTGTTAACTTTTGATCGGTTTCCTTGTTTTCGGATTTTTCCCGGTTTGAAATATATATATATATATATAACTATATATACACACATATATATATATATATATTTTCATTTTTATCTATATCCATTTTCCAGTTTCCAGTTTCTCATATCTCGCTCCACACTTTTTCGCCTTGTTGTTTTCTTTATACAGCGGGCCTAACTCTTAATGTGTTGCTAATTTTCTTCATTGATCTCTATAACATGGCTACTGTCCCATATACCATCCTAATCCTCGGTGGTGGCATTGCAGGCGTTGCCTCCGCCCTCGCACTCTCTAAAGCCCTCACCCCGGTGCTCCCTAATCTCAAAATCGTCATCTACGAGCTCCGAGATGTCCCTTCGACTTCTGGTGGCGCCATCAACCTCACCCCCGTCGCCCATAGGCATCTCGATCAGCTAGGCGTGCTCGATGAGCTGCGAGATTTGGGTCCTAAGGGAGGCATAGAGGTGGACGAGATAGAGGTATTCTCCTCTCACAGTGGTAAAAAACTGGGTGCGGTTGACTTTGCAGGCAAAGACGGCAAGGGTTATGGTGGGTACAAGGGGCGCCGCTTAATGCGCATATCTCTTCATCTGGCTATGTTATCTGCTGTGGAGAAACGGAGTAATGTGGAAATGGTGTTCGGGAAAAAAGTTGTAGGCGGCATCGAGACGGACAAACGCGTTACAATTTATTTCGAGGATGGCTCTTTTGCGAAAGGCGACTTGGCTTTGGGATGTGATGGCGTGCATTCAGCTACGAGGACAAACATTGTTGATCCCGATAGGGTTTCGGAGTATACGGGGATTTCGTTTATTCAGACTACGATAAAGTCGGAAATGATAAGGTCGCCCAAACACTTTAAGGTTACGGCGTTGAACAGATCAAGACACGGAGCGTTGATGACGACATATTGTGATAATGAAAAGGAGGATATGTTCGTGGCAGCGTTGGCGGAAGTCGAGGAGGACCGTTTGACTTATGAAATATGCAAGTATCAGGCTGCAGATTCGTGGAAAACAAAGAATACCGCCATCATGATATTAAGAGATGACATTCAGAGTCGCTTTGGAAAGTCCGCCCTTCCGTGCGTTCGCGAGATTGCGGAAAAATGCTGGGATTGGTTTCTATATCCAGTGTATCAGATACGTCCTGGTGGGAAATGGCATACGGAGAGGATCATGTTATTAGGCGATGCTGCTCATGCTGTGCGTATTTCATATATCTACCGTTCCCCCTTCCTCATTCACCTGCAAAATATTGGTCAGATATCCATTAGGAATAGGATCAAACTAACGCGGGCAAATATTCTTTTTATTCCCAGATGCCCCCCAAGGATGAGTCAGCCGCCTACGCCCTGGACGACGCCATCCTCTTCGCCCGCGTCCTATCTGAATACATCCATGAGCCCTTATCCAAAACCTTCAGCATCTACGAATCCCTCCGTCGCGAAACCGTCGAGAACGCATACAAGGCCGCTTGCGAAAACTGGGCCCGTCACAGAGACAGCAGCCGTCTTGCCAGCTTGCGAGAGGAGTGGCTCACCCCGCTTAATCTGATGCGACAAAAGAAGAAAAACTCAAGCGTGTGGGTGTTTGATGCTATGAGTGTCGATATCCCGCCCTCGAGAGTAGGGTCACGGCAGTCAACATTCTCGTCAAGCAGCTAATTTGTGGCTATTTGCTTTCTTTTCCGTGGCTGCGTGCATTCTCTCTTTACATCTGAAGAAATAGAATGTATTTGTATCAGCCAACCCTCCCCCCCTCCCCACCTGAGTATAGAGTATATATTGCATCTTTGCATTCTTGTTACGCATCGGATCGGCGCTTGGTTTGCTATTCCACTTTAACCTGTACTATATATATCAAATTTTCTTTTCTTTTCTTTTCTTTTCATTTTTCATTCTTTTTTTTTTATCCCCGCCGAGTTTAAAAACGGAATACGAACATAGAATTTGCATCAATAGAAATAAAATGAATAGAAATAAAACGAATAGAAATAAAACGAATAGAAATAAAATGAATACGTATTATATGTATGTGCCTTCCTCCATGGCAATGATTTTAGAAATTTTATTTTCATCTGAGAGTGGCCGGTTTATATCTTGTACCCAACCCATAAAACCAAAAACAAAACTTAGCAGGTTGATATGATGGTCCATCATATTTTTTCGGGATAGATTCATCCGTCAGGGACATCTGCTATCCCATAATCAGTGGTAAATCGATCCAGAAAAAAAAAAGGGGAGGGGGGGTTCCGAGCCGTCGCAATAAGTCCCTTTGGCCATGGCAAGTATGGTTTAGTCTTGTCGGATTAGGAGTTGAAATTCCCGTGCGAGGCTCGTAGGCGGGATTCCACTCGCCGTATATAGAATATATAGCACGTAAAGGTTAGTAAACATGAAATTTCATGGCCCTTCTCTCTATGCAGGAGGTGTTTTGGATGTATGTGCTGGCATTCACATGTACGTATTCTCGCATGTATATAGAGCAAATAATTCAGCATGGAAGAATGACACTCGAATTAATGGACCACCATGTTTTCTTTACCAATTGACTAGACAAGAGGAAACTGTTCGACAACCCCATTCTTTTTCGCAGCCAAATAGAGATGCTGATTTACCGGCGCAGTTGCAAGACTTGCCTGATCCTATCACCTGAAAGTTTACCAGTGCCAAGTGTTTCTGGTATTGCAACTCCATATTCACGAATCTAGTCCGAGGCTGCATCACCATGTGGAGTTAACAATTGTTTACCAAATGCAATCTGACGCCGCTGGACTATCCCATTTGCGGTGGCTGTAAAGGTCGGAGGGCCATATCCAACATAGTTTGGAGGGTTCCCCATGCAATCAGATCCGTGTCAAAAAACGTGTGTAAATTGCTACCGATGCCGTTGAGTATTGTGATGTCGATCGCAGATGACGATGATGCTGGACTAGGAATCCGTAAAATTCATGCGAATATCTGGCTGATAATGAGTGTTAATCTCAAGCGTAAGCAATCTACGAATTGATAACCTCATGCCCACTTGCAATGCCTGGATAAGCATTGTACGCCATCCAATGAGAAAGTTGCTGGTCCAAAGTCTGTTCTAGAGTTAGCGATTGAACTAGAAGATCTAATCAACGGAGGGAAAGCATTCACTCTCAGAAGAAGTAGAGGATAGGCTAGATGTTATAGCCTCTATTCCAGTTGTTGAGAATGGCCCTGGAGACTGCAGATGTTGTTGAGGGGGAAGAGGACAGAAACACACTTCTGATGATCATCAAGAATGGTTAAAATCAATATCTTAGAGTTCAGCAACCTTGCTATCTTTGAATGTGTCTTCAAGGTCCAGTGAGTGCATCCTTCTCATAGAGGGTGATGGTAGCACTTAGATTAATTTCTACTCCTCAATGGTTGTCAGATCATCAATCATGGTCTGAAGCACTTAGATTCAACATCTCATCGAATTGAAATGAGACTTGATGAAAGAGAGATTAAAGTCTGAGCATGATGACAGAGTTGTAAATAATCTGGGTTTTCCTTTTCTTGAAATAGTTAACATTGAGTTTGAATTGAACCTGGTTAGAGATGAAATTATTTTTCTGAACCATTCAATCACTCAATGCCTTGCTCAAATCTTCATTTTTCATTCATCTTTCAAAATTCATACTCTCAGAGAGATGCCAGAACCTGCCATGCTCTGTGACATACATGACATGGTTTTGCAAGATAATTCTAACTATGACGAGCATCAGTTTTCTAATAATAATAATCACGTTTGGCTCGGATCCTTCCACCCACCCGGCTGAAAACCAAAAACATGAGCTTCTGGTAAATTCGCTACTAGTGTTTGGCCTTTTGGGTCTGGCGGGGAGGGGAATCAAGAACCCGAAGGGTTCCCCTCGTATGATTGGTTCCTGGAGCAGTTGTGTCCGTGGGAGTTGTGGGATTGGAGTCTGCTGCGGAGCTGTTGGAACCCACCCAAATCCCAGAGCCAGAGTTGTGGCATGGAGCCTGTCGTAGCGAGTTACACTGGTCTCCACTCTCACTTTCAATCTCACTTTCAGTTTGATACTGAGCAGCGGCAAGTTTTCCAGAATACAAAAGTCTTGACAAAGAGATTTTGTGATTTTGTGATAGTTAATTGAAACCCTCCTAGTCGTGCAGCACGCATACAGGTAAAAATGCGTTCGGCATCTTATCTGTGACAGGTGAGAGGTACCGATTCAAATAATGACATTTGCTTCTCAAATCCGTCGCCGCTGTCACTTTGCTCAGAAGAAGCTCTCTCTTATGAGATCCCCGAAGCAAGCTTCTGGATGGTGACTACCTACCACCAAAAAGCCTCTTCCACTTCTCACGTGTGGGCAACGTGCATCGCGAATGGTGTCGCTGCTGGTGGTGTGCAGACAAAGCTCCAAGGTTAATAAATAATTAGCTTGCTGCAGATGAATATTTCTTCGTATTTTTAGAAGGGAGGTAACATTGAACGATGCGGACCGACAATATCCACGTCCACTGGAGTCTGTAATGTCGCAACGAGGAGTGTGAGCATTTTGGACTTGACGGGGAGAAACACTGTACAGAAAATATTTTGAATATAGTAATCTTCAAAAATTAATTAATAATCATCACCACATCTATCTATAACATAAAGATTATCTATATACTCATTAGAAGGTGTAGAATCCACTGTAGATTGAGATTCTATAGAATTATCTTGTTATGGTTGAGTGACTGTAGATTTTATAGATTTGATTTCAATCAATTAAAGATTCTTATTGAATGTCTTTTTCATCTCATCTGCTCTACATATTATAATCTTACAATTGATATTCTTAATAGTGAGAACTTCACCTACTTGCACCTATTTGTGAGAGAATTTAATAACTTAATATCTATTTGCTTAATAATGATCTGCAAGTTCACTCTCATGATATGTGTTTAATTCTGCCTGAATTATACTACTCTTGAAGATCTTGTTCAACTGTCTTATTAAATCAGATATAAGAGTATTCTTCACATCTTCTAAGATCTTGACTACTGTATTAATTTAATAATATAGTTTTACAATCATCTCTAAGAAGATTAATTATGAGAAGACAGTTGATAATTAATCTACAGATGATGAGATAAAGTGATTGTATATATTATTATCATTATTGTATATATTGAGATCTAGAGTATTATCAATGATAAAAGATCTCAATTAATCAAGAATTATATTGTAATTAACTGAATACATTTCACAGTTAATAAAGCTAGCTCTTACAGTACTAGATTTAAATACTTACAGTTAAATACTCTTCAGATTAGTAAGAAAATATCTATTATTATACTGCTTATATTTATAGTAGATAGTCTTGTTGATGATTACTACACTTACTCTAGTCACGTGCCACCTCAACCTATTTAGTGTAACTCGTGTAGTTAGAATACAACATAACAATGTTATTCTTCAAGAGGTTATAAAGCTCTTCATAAGTAATAAATAATCATAATAATGTGTCAACTATATCTTTATGTATCATTACACATGTCTAGATGTTTTTTATTGATTAATTGAACTCATGGTTAATCTAAGATCTGAGGGAATGCCTGACTTAATAAAAGAATATGTACCTTTAAGACAAAGAAATGAGAAAATATCAGAGCAGTAAACACAAGATCACAGATCACTGTCAATGTTAATAACAAATCAGAAGACAGCTTTAGAGATGTTTAAGCTGAATGAAATCATTGCAGAAGAACAGTCTGATGAGTTCAATGTATATAAAGACTCAGTTAAAGATATTAGTGAGATATCAGACAATGCAGAGAGCTTAAGTGACTGAAATAATAATAGCTCAGTGAGTGAGAAGACTTGTATGAGGCTTGAAATTGCAAGACTTCAGCATGAGATTGAGTGAATAAAGATTAGTAGAGATGACTCTGCAGATAATAAGATAAAAGCAGATCTGATAGAATATCTTCAATAAAAAGAGAAGACATCTGTTATAATGAAAGTTCTTGAAGAATTCAGAAGCTAAGTAAGACTCATCAAAAGATTAATTATTCTCACTGAATTCATTAACTACTTAATGTGAAGAGAGGAAATTCTTTTGACTGTAGAACAGTCTGAAATTAATAATATTCTTAAAGATAATAGTCTTAATAAGAATGTCATCATGAACATGCAATGTTTCTGAAAAGAATGCAATCTTTGATTATATAATTACATGTAGTCTGCAATTGCTCTGCAGGTCAAGGCTCATTTCACTATACTCAAGAAGTTCAAATTATCAGCTTATACTCTATGAACTATTATAGAGAATAACTTTTCTGAGAGACCTGCTGTATACAGAACTCATTTATTTAAAGAGCTTATTGAAATAATCTTTAAAAGCAAAGAATCTGATAGAGCTTTCATTGAATGATTAATTATTATCAGAACTGATTATATTCATCTGAGATATAAGATTAAAGATGTTGTGTTTTTCAATAGATTACTGACAGAAGTCAATAGAGATTGAGCATTCTTCATAAAGAATAGAATGAATCAGATTGATAAGAACAATTCAAGATCTTTAGAAGAAGACTTCATGAGATTATACTGTGACATACTTCTATGTCTTTCTACTGTGGAAAATAGTAGTACTGAATTCATGAAAAATCCTGTGAATAATGCTCAAGACAAGGATAAGAAAGACAAGGACACTGAATTCAAACCTGAATGTAGAGATAATGATGTGAAGACCTGCTATTATTATCAAAAGATTGATCATATTCAGACTGACTGTTGAAAGAAATACTCTGAGAAATGTCCTTCAAATTTGAACTTCAACATCAATAGAAACAAGGATAAAGACAAGAATGTGAAGAATACAGATGCTGCTTCTGTTTACAATGTCATGAAATAAGTATTTTGCATCAAAGAAAAGACCTATGTGAGTGATCAGATAGAAAAAGATATCTGAATTCTAGACTCTGAATCAGACACTTACATCACACCTCACAGAGATCTTGTTATGATAAAACCTCAGAAGATGAAAGTAATGTTGAAAATAATAGATAGAACAGTGATCTCTGCTGCAGCTATAGAAGATATAAAGATTTCAGTGAAAGAGATGAATATACTGTTAAATGATATTCACTATGTTCTGAAGTTAGAAGTGAATCTCATGAGTATGAGTAAGCTTGTATATCAGGGTTATACCTATAAGCAGTTGATATATGAGAATAATCATACTATGTTAATTATGTCTCCTGACTGCATATTCTCATTTATAGCAAGATTAAATGAGAATAATATCTATAAGATGAAAAGGCTAGTTATATACAGAGACTTAATCTGGTTTACTATACTTAATAATGATTTTAAATCTGTGAACATATTACAGATGAAAGATGACACAATATTAACACTATCTGAAAGAAATGATACAAAGATTATAGAACTTATAATGATATAATGATATTAAAAGCTAGAACATCTGAATCTCACAGATATTACAAAAATGACAGCAGATTCATGACTAGAAATGAGAATAAAGAGTGACAGAGCTTTGTCATTCTGTAAGACCTGTATACAGATAAAAATAACACATTCAATCTTCACATCTATAATATGAGCTGTTAAGCTGATAATAAGATTCTTCATCAATCTGACAGAGAATGAAAAAACACTTTTTAACAGAAATGACACTCTTACTAGAGAGAATGCAAGCTACTGATTAAGTATAATAGATAATATAACTCATTATAGATAAGTAATTCTTATAATAAGAAAGAAAGAATCTACTACAAGATTAATAAATTTCATCACAGATATTAAGATAACTATATAATATTGAGTTAAAACTTCACACTGAAATGATAAAGAAGAGTTTAAAAGTCAAGAACTTAAAATCTACTGTCAGAGTAAAGAAATAGTATATGAAATAACTACATCTGATATATCATAATTAAATGACTCAGTGAAACATATGAATTGAATAGTTACAGAAAAGATGTGAAGTCTACTATTTAATAGTGAATTAGAAAGAGAACTTTGAGATGAAGTAATATAAGCTGTGATTATGATGATTAATACATTCTTAACATTAACAAAGATATTTAAATGTAAGAAAGAAACATTACTTACATCTTTTAAAGCTTGAACTGAGGTGTAATCTTCTGTTCATTAAATATGAAGATGAGGGTGCAAGGTCTATAAGAAGGATTCGAAAGTGTTGAATAAGCTTGTAAATAGAACTGATGATAAGAAATGACAGCTGATTAAACATCAAGAATTACATCAATATCATGTGTGAGATTCTGTTGCATGTTGTCTTGAGATTGTATGAGATATCATATTTAATAAAGCTCTTGACATGAGTGCAAATACACCTGTAAATACAGTGAGAGAATTCAATGAATTGTTTAATAAATTGAATATTCTGAATGTCAGAGAGAAATGATAGTACTGCTTACTATAACATCTTACAAAGAAAAAATCAGATATTTTGAAGATAATTGTAAATAAGAACTTAGAGAGTGTAATTGATTCAATCTATCTTCTAGATAATAAGATATAGCTTGTCATGAATAAAGAGTTTGAAGACTCTGTTAATAAGAATGATTCTGTTCTAAGTGTTCTGACAGACTGATCAACTACACTAACAGAAGTCAAGAGAAGCTCAGACTGAGACTATTAACATGAGACAATAGAAAAGAAGATTAAGATATTTGAATAGAAGAAGATATATATTATCATTGAGAAGACCTCAGAAATGAATATTCTTACAGATAAATGAGTATATAATTGAAAATTCAATAATAAGAGAGAAATTATTCATTTTAGAGCTCACTGAGTGATTAGAGAGTTCTTGCAATAGCAGAGTATTCATTATATAAGATTATATACTGCAGTGATATCAGAGTCTATATCATACAGTCTATTTACTATATTAACTGCTAAAGAATGAAAGATCAAATCAATTAACTATATATCTGTGTTTTTGAATGATATACTATCACAGAATGAGATAATCTATATACAACTGCTCACAGATGTTAAGTATAATAGAGAGAACTTAGTGAGATTACTTTGTCAGAGTCTATATAAAATGAAGCAAGTTATAAGAGTATGATATTTTCTCATAATAAAGCATCTGACTACATTGAGATTCAAGATATTATTTTATGATGATGAATTTCTATATCACTCTGTTTATAAGATCTATCTGACATTGTATATTAATGATTATTAAGTGATGAGATCTTAAGAACAGCAATTAAACTGAGTATTAAGAGAGATTATAAAGAGATTTGAGACAAAGAATGTTGAAGAGATCAAGCTATATCTTGAGATGAAGATTAAATGTCAGAGGAATAATAATCTAGCAGTTATACAGAGCTGTTATATTGAGAAGATTCTTGAAGATTTCAGCACAAATAAGATAAATTCAGCTGACACTCTGATAGCAGCTGGTATATGACTGGAATTCTCACCTGATGAGAGAGAGAGATTGAATGATGACTTTACAGCTACAAGATATTATCAAGAATTGAAATCATTGCAGTATTTAGTCTCAAGTAGCTGGTCTGATCTGGTATTCACAGTCAACTATCTCTTGCATTTTAACTTGTGTCTGTATAAGACATGTTAAGCAGTGTTGAAGCATGTTCTATGTTATGTCAAGAAGATGAAAAATCATGACATATTATACAGAAAGGAGATTGATGATATGAGTCTGAGTTCTGTGACATACTGTGATTCAGACTGAGTGAGGATGGATCCTCAATACAAATCAACTACTGGCTATGTTATATTGATTAATGGGTCACTGATCTCATGGCATTTGCAGAGACAGATATCTATTGTCAAATCAATCACAGAAGCTGAATATATTGCAGCTAGTGAGACAGCTTGTAAGATAATCTGATTAAATGATATGTTATATGACACTGAGTTGATAAATAATGAAAAAGTGAAAATATACTCACATCTACAAGTTGATAATAAGAGAGCAATTGATCTAGCAAAGGAGGAATTCTTAACATGAAGATTGTGTTATATTGAGATTAGATATCATATTCTACACAATTTAATTGAAAAAGAGGAAATCATGATGAAACATGTTAGTTCTACAGTGAACATAGCTGACGGGCTCACCAAGCCACTGGTGAAGCCTGCATTTGAAGAATTTGTCAAGAGGGTTGGCATTCAGGAAATTGAGAAGAAGGAATGATTGAATGGTAATGATGATACGGCGGATCAATGGATTTTGCATGTATTTCTTGATTTTTACAGTTATTGCTGTACGGACGCCTTTTCTAATGAGGAAATCAGGGTCTGATTGATGTAATTAATTATTATTGCATTTTTGAAAGATTTGAGAATGAGGGAGGCCCCGGGTGGCGGCTTATAGACCACGGTGTAGCAAGAGGGGGTGTTGGTGATTACTACACCTACCCTAGTCACGTGCCACCCCAACCTATTTAGTGTAACTCGCGTAGTTAGAATACAACATAACAATGTTATTCTTCAAGAAGTCTTATTAACTATCTTTGTATAATAATATTTATACTACTGAAAAGATACATTATTAAGAGATTATAAAATATAACTTATATAAGATAAGAATCTGAATAGAATAATCTTATAAAGATTACAGTATTGAATAAATTCTTCTATAAGATGAGAATTATAATTATTTATTAATAGCAGTTAATAACTGCTTATTTAACACTTTTTTATTATTTTATTAAACTGCTTGATTTATTCAAATTCAATCTCATTATTTATAAAGTCAGATTTGAATACAGTGATAGTATAGTTATCAGATAAGTTGAAGTATGTATATTAATTCTCTAAATAAATCTTTAATTTCATTATAATTAATAAATTTAATACTATATTATCTACATCAATATACTTTATCACTGTTATTAATTCACAGAAGTATAATAACTATATAATAGAATTTATATCTTTAAAGATAATTATAACTCACTGTTTATATTCTTCTTCTTCTTGAAATTTAATCTTATTAAAGTTGTAGATATTACAGTGAAAAAAATGATATTAATAAAGACAGTTTTATATTAATTAAATCAGTTAATAATAAAGTATATATTTTTATAAAATGCTTATTTTAAATTTATGAGCTTTTACTTAACTCATTTATAATCTGACAGATGTTTAATAAATTAATATACTTATATTTTACTTACTATAAGAGATATAGTCTTTGAATCTGTATAATACTATCTTAACATGCAGTTTACAGCAGCTTTGATATACTTAATAATAAATAGATAAAAATTAATATTCAACTGATAAATTCATATCTTAATTATCTCTTTCTAACTGTTATTCAATACTCAATTCAGTGAAACTCTCATAGTTCTTGATTTCTTCTCATTGATTCTCTTATATAAGATGATATATAAGACTTTGAATTCTTATAACAGAGATATGATTTTTAATTTTAAATTGCTTTTATACATATTAATAGCTCTTTGCAACTACTTCTCAGTGTAATTAAAAGATTTAGACATGATTATAATTAATGATGATTATTTGAAGATGAAGAATGAAGATATTCAAAATATTTTCTGTACAGTGTGGTTTTCTGTACACTGTGGTGCACTCACTAGAGAGAGTGAGTAAGCATGGCACGGTTACTCCGTACATTATTACATCTGCATTTCTGGACGGTAATGGCCAATACACGAATGGCGAGGCCAAGCCTGTAACGTATTGATATCCGTGTATCAATACGTAATTTATCGAACAATCGAACCAGACGATACCGCCAGCCGCCAGCTGGTGCAGGTGAGTTCGGAGCGGTCTGTCTGCAGACACCGGACAACGTTTTGTGGCTTGAAAGCGCTCGCTCTAAATGGAGCCTTTTTGGATACCCATCGGGGAGGAGATGTGAAATGTGGCCTGCTGGATGGAGCCTCCATGATGAGAAGCAGCACAGAGCACTTGGGCTGCTTTGTGGAGTATATATATTTATTTATGCGGTTTCAGTATCCTAGAGCAAGCTGTCAAGAGCTGCCCTACCTTGAGCCACGGAGTAGCTCGGAGAGATTGTCAAGCTGACAGACCAAGCAAACCCAGCCAGCCAGCGTCGTTCAGCACTGGGAGCGCCTTTACTGAGAGGAGAGTCAGTCAGTCAGGTACCGGGCAACCTCCTACCAAAGCCAGGGGTGACGAAAATGCCGGGAAAACGAGAATTAGCCGTCATTTCAAAAAGGTACATTTAAATACGGGCTATCCTTGCGCCGGCGCGCATAGCAGAGACCAGTCAAGGCGTTCCGGAAGTGGCTTTTCGCAAGAAGGACACCAGCCGGTGCAACGGAGAGCACGTCTCTGACTGGCTGGTGAGCGGGAGCTTGTGGTTTGCCAGCATAGGCTTCGACTGGTGAGTTCGACGATGCGCCGATACCACTTGGCATCCTGTTTCTGGAGTGTTTTTTCACGCGGGAAGCTCTGCCATTCTGTAACCCCAGTGGTCCAGCGAACGAGCACTGGCCACTACCGAGCGGGCTGGGAGGTAATTTAATGTTGACGGCGCCGCCATCAATACCCGCAGATACCTTGGTACGGTATACAGATACCCGACCCGCAGCCCCGGCCGGGAAGCCCTGCTCGAAGGTGGAGCCTGCGCTGGAATTTCCTCGAGGCGAGCATCAACTCCCCCGCCCGTCAAGCGGTGCCGTCGTGGTGGACACAGCCGTACTGCATGTATACCGCTAAACAGGGCGGCTGTATTGGGCGCTCTCCTCTTTTCTCCTCTTTCTCGTTTTCCTCTTCTTCTCGCTGTTTTCCCGTTCTTCTTGCTTCTTCTCTTTTGCTTCCGTTCCTCAACCTCACCACCACCCTCTCCCATCCCTCCTTCGCCGACACACTCGACGTCCAAACCATCTTGGGTGCTGGAATTGCGCCCTCTCTCCCGTCGCCTCTGTTGGGACCGCATCCGGTTCTCGTTTGCTGTTCAGCTTCCATCAATTCAACACCAGTACCAGGTTGCTGACTTCCAAAGTCGCCTAATTGTCAAAATATCCACTCGAATCAGCGCGAAAGGATATCCGGGATCAAGACTCTGGCTCCACACAACACAACGAATATCCGTCTGACCTACTGATCAATCCCATCGATCGAGCGTCTACATATCGTCCTACCAACAACTCCACGCCACGCATGAGCATATTCACATCCAACTCTGCACCTTCCACTCCGACATATAATACGAGAAGCTCCCAACCAATTACACCGATTTGAATTTCGATATCGACTGGTCTCCGCCTGGGCCTGTATTCTGGATTGAGTGGGTTGCAGTGGTACTCGAAATTCCGACATCCTGGTTTCCTTAAGTCTTGGAAAGCCGTATATTTAATTGTTCATCCGTCCTCATCAACATTTTAAATTTGCCTGAATGCCCATCTAAGTCGCTCCCGTTACCGATACTATGACTGAGCCAACGACTCCCGCGAAGAACGGCGCGGAGAAAGACGACGGACTTGGAAAGTACATGAAGCGGGTGAAGACCGTGCTCAAGGGTCGAAATAGAGCATCCGTTTCGAGCATGACGGACATTATCGGCGAATCCAGCAAAGCTGGAGAGAAAGCAGCAGTTACTTCGTAAGCACAACCCTCTATGCCCAATTTTCCGATGGAGAGACGGTGTTCTTTGCCGTGATCAGCACAAGAACTTACTCGATGTTTATCCATAAATTTAGTAGCAAGCCAGCCGCAACTACCGTGAAGAAGACCTCTGCAGAGCCTGTACAGGTTCATCAATGGAGCACCCTCCAGCAAGAGAAAGCGCGTGCTTTGTTCGCCAAGTACGGGTTGACTTTGGAGCCGAGCGAATGGATGTCGAAACCTGCGGACCGGAGCGTGCAGCGAGTTGAGAAGCCGGTCCGTATGAGAGTTCGCCGCAACTGCCATCGCTGCCTCACCACCTTCGGTGCGGACAAGGTGTGCGCGGGCTGCCAGCACTTGCGATGCAAGAAATGCTTCCGCTACCCGCCTGCGAAGCCCAAGGACGGATGCCTTGAGAAAGACAAGGCCAAGGCAGCAGATGTCCCTAAGAAAGCTGTTCTTACGATTCCCTCACGCACGGGAGGCCAAGATCTCGTCCGCAAGCCGATCAGACAGCGAGTCCGCCGCACCTGTCATCACTGCCAGACGCTGTTCATTGGAGATGCCACTGTGTGTTCAGAGTGCGAGCACATTCGCTGCAAGAAGTGTCCTCGAGATCCGTACGTATTCTTTAATCAACATATTTTGTTTTGACAAGGAGAGGAGTTCGTGATTTTGAAAACTAACTGGTATGATATGATGCTTTAGACCGAAACTGAATAAGTATCCCGATGGTTACCCTGGAGATGTCGAACCGCCCTTCGAGCCTCAAGAACGCGTCTGGCGGAAACCGAGACGCCGGGTAAGATGGACATGTCACAATTGTTCGAAGTTGTTCCAGGCGGGAGACAGGGTTTGTCCAAGCTGTCAGCATGAGCGGTGCTCGGATTGTATTAGAGACCCGTAAGTTTGCTGCCATCCAATCTATCCAATCCATCCATCCATATATCCATGTTATATATATATATCTAACTGAGCATTCGTCGCCATTCAGACCAAAGAAGATCAAACCCGAACCAGATCCGGAACTTCTCCGACGAGTGGAAGAGCGGCTTGCTAAGGTATCGATTTCTGCGTCAACTTAGCAGCTCGTATAGGTAGTAGCCCTGGGCATTTTCACCGTGTTTTCTTATTTCTGAATCACCGTCCGTCCATGCTGTTGCCCACTTTTTCTCCTTGTTCATTTTGAGTAACTATTTCCTTATGCGATTTTGACTCAATCTTTTCTCTTCTCCGCGATCTATGCTCTTAATTTCTCATCTCGGCACTCCCCATCTATATCTATATCTCTATCTGCAATCTTGCTTGTCCAGCTTTTCCTCCCGCATTTTTGTCCACCCCCACGACCCCTTGATGACCCTAACGGTACTTGAGCGAACAATCAAAATTCACTTTGCCCCGTAATAAAGCAATCAGCCAATCCAGCAGCTTCTTGTCCCTCTCAATTCATTCATTCATTCATTTCATTCATTTATTCATTCATCCATATCTCTTTTCCCGAAAGCGTTCTGCAGCTCTCCCGCTACTACCCCCTTTATCCTTTTCCCTTCTATACCCAACATTATTAGATAACCAAGTATCTCTATATGTTACCTTGAGAGAATTGATCTATTGGTGAATTTCTTTGTCGATATATATACACTCCTCCCCCGGCCTACTATTTCACAGCGTCTCACGTTTCCACGCGCCTTCATCCTCAACTTGTCTTGCATATGGATTCTCAACGTGTGTTGGACAACTCTCGCTATTCTTTTTCTACGTTTCACACTCTTATCTTCCTATATCCTCTCCCGAACGCACCATCAACTCAAATTTGAGGATACTTGTTCCTTTTTTACACATATTTGACTCATTCTTGGAAATACCCACTACCCAAATTTAGTAAACGAATGAACTTGTTATCTATCGCCAGCTCTCTCGCCAGTTGATATATGTGATACTGTCTTAACCAAATACTGTGTCTCAATTTGATATATTCCTGTGACTCCTTTCCCACTGAACCCTCCTTACTAGTCAGAGGCTGGGGAGCGGGCAGCGTACGTATAGATGGATAGTTTTGCTAGTTGAGGGAAACGCAAACCCATATACACCTAGACATACCATAGACACTCTTATTAAATCTTTCTCAGTATAATTTCAAGACCAACTCAATACGTAGATCCATGAAGGCAGAAACCGGCACCTGGTAGTCTATAAGGAGCCAACGCTCATGGGATTGGGGGAGTGAATACCGCTCCATTTTTATATACAGGAGTTAACTATCTCGGTAGGTGTACTCTAGCCGGGGGTTCCTCATTGATACTCTCAACCGTAAGCTCCTTCGGTACAGCGTAAGCATCTCGAACATGTTCTAAACATGTTCTAACTGACGACGGAGGCGAAAAAAAAGAAAAGAAACAAAAACGGAGTCATCAGGGAATTTTCAACTGGGCTTAAAAAAAAAAAAAAAAAAAAAAAAAAAAAAAAAAAAAAAAAAGGAGAGCACAAGAAACGGAGTTAATCTATCAATCTTCTTCTACCAGAGATCCCATCCACCCACAGCTCCACAATGTAAGTAAGCCGGAGAAATCTATTAACTTAGCAGTTAGAGGCCTCAAGGCATTGATTGCTCTTCAAGCTTTTCTATCCGTATATTCTTTTGATTGGTTGGGATATAGCTTATTTTCTTCTTGTCCATTCGCTATGTTCGGTTTTTGTTAGTTTAGCTGGGAAGCAAAGAGCAAAGAATCATTGCTAACTAATAATAATAGAATCTTTTTTTTTTTTATACGTTAAAATGTTAACGTTAGTTAGCTATTATTCGAGCTCTCCTTGTTTTCTTTTGACGCAGGCCGAGAAATTTGGAGTGTGGTGGTGGATACAGACAGGCTCCATCTACGTTGGTGAGACTGGTTGACATTGCAATTAATTATGAGGAGCCCATTGGAGATACATAGCTAGAGCTTGTGTAGCTCCTGTAACTCAACTATAGTTATCAAGATTACACATACGGATTAGATGTGGAGTGAGAATTATTATTATTATTATTATTTCGATGAAAATAGTTGAGCATAGAGTAGGGAAACAATATAAATATTCTTCTCATCATAGAAAAGGGTTATATCAGAGCGTATTAGTAACAAACCATAGAATGATGCTGATGATTAGTTATTAGTTATGAGAAGGTAAATTACCAAACCCTGTATTTAGAAGTGTCGGAGCTATTATTATTATGTAGCAGCTTGCAATAATAGTAACTAATCATTAAGAACCCCGTTGTTACACTTTACTTATGCACCCACCCGATTCCCCGAGACCGGGATCAAGTGCAATAACGAATCCTGGTTGGCGGTTCTCTTTGTCTGATTCGGCGTCTCTACATGAATGCTGGAACGCTCATCAGCGTTTATCAAAACCGACAAAGTCGAGGGGAGAGAGAGGATTGGCAGACTGACAGTTGACAGGGTTCGGCGGGTGCGATCTTCAAGCTTCTTCTGTTCTGTATCGTATCGTATCAGCGGAGGCCAGCATCAGAGACTCGAGTCTCCAACAATAATGAATGGTTAGTTACATATATTTCCTTTTGTTTTCTGGTTTCTGTCAGTGTGAAACGCTGACAACCGCGTGGTTTGAAGCGGGTGGCTTTTTCTTTTTCTTTTTCCTTTTTTCCTTCGTCTTCTGTCGTCTTCTGGAACGTCGGGAAGAAGTGGAGGGCATGCTTTTTTGATATTCTTTCTCTACTTCGTTCTTCTTCTTCTTGGTATATAACAAATTCTAGAAGTTTGCTTGATCCATTTTATCCTTCAATAAATACTGTAATGATCCTCGTCCAAACCTCAACATCAACATCTTGTATTAGTCTCCTAGTGGCATTTCGGGGCGGTTACAATTAGTTAGCTGTTCATGATGGATTCTGTTTCACGTCCTTCAGCATTCAATGCCAATGGCCCGTGTTCATGTCCACGTCTCAAGTCCACGTCTCAAGTAGAGAAATGCATGCATACCTGGGTAAAAAGTATCCACAACTATTCGGAAACAGACGCGGAAACCCTTTCTCTCTTAAGACGAAAAGAGAGACATCACTGTACCGTACCTGAGGGTTTTCACCAATTGGAGATGCAAGGCGGTTATCAAAACAAATATATATTATATACTCTTTTGGAGGAAACATCGGACATTATCACCACCAACTCCTCATCATGTCCCCTATTTTCATTTCGCGACTCGTGTACGGTTCGGTTATGGCTATTAGAGCTCTAGGAATAGGACTATCAAACCAAGCCTCGAAATCAGCCGTAGGAGAGGGGAGGCTGAACGCATTAGCTAGGACGATGTATTAATGACAATAAGGCGATTGATTGTCGAGGATGGATTTCTCTGGACTTCGGTATCGCTAGGTGCGGTGTGCATCTTGTCATCAGCTTGTCATCATTCCCCGTCCCACCTTCAAGGACAATATACTCCGTATATTAAATGGGGACAGGGCAATTCTGTGCCAGCGGATTCAGCGCCGGAGGTTTCCTGACAGGCTTCGTTTAACGATGCTGCACAAGTATGCCAATAATAATATGGCAAATGATCACACGAACCGACATTGATAACGTATGTACCACGAGTGTCATTGTGTCACTCTCCAAAGCAAGAACATTTTTTTTAAATTTTTTTTTTTTTTAAAAAGTTGCGCACGCAATGGCTATTGACTTTGGCGTCCTCGGTTCTCTATTGATCCCCCTTTTCGGGCGAGCTGTGACTCTGTTGACTAGGAATTTGATAGCTTGTCGCGCCTTTTTCACGGAAATAGAATAGATCAATCAATTCTCCACAACAACCAACAAGACTGTTGCCAAGAATCATATCAAAAGCGCGTTTATTTCTAATCTCTTATTTTTAAACAGAAAAAAAAAATAATAATAATAATAATCCGCCCGAGGAGGCCCAGAGCCTAGTACCTAGCTGAGTTGCGTGGGTATGGAATCACACATTTAAAATATCGCTTATTCTGTCACTACGATTGGCCCGCCTAACACTTATAACTATAGCAACTGACTGCTCCGCCCTCTTTCATTATATTTCTTTTCATGCGCTTCATGCGCGGTTATTCTATCCCCTCTTTTGTTATTGTTCTCTCTCCCTTCTTTCTCCCTAGCAAGTTCCGTAGTCGAGCACAGGATTCAAAATATATTCCTGCTATTATTGTTTCATTATTCGGGACATGTGCTTTACGCAGTAAAAACTCCTGTGAGCCCTAAGCCCGCTCCCCCCCCTTAGCACTGTCTCTCCCGATCCACCCCACCAAGCGGGCCGCCGAGGGCACCACCATAGTACCCGTGCGCTATGTTCCAGCGCAGGGGGGGGAGGGATATGGGGGCGGCGGACCGATTAAAAAAAAATAAAAAAAATCGGATAATAGGAGGCGGGGGAGGGGTTTGGGAATTATTTACACATGACTCCAGATTCCATATCTTGTTGGATTTCCCAGACAGCTTTATTTCAATATTGAAAAGCCCTTGAATGACCGTTGGGTAACTATTGACTCAAACGCAAGCGTAGATTTTTTTGCGAACATAGACAGCATATCGCACGGTTCGTCGTTCTACTTGCTATTCAATTTATAAAAGTGAACATACTCTGTAGTTACTCTGCGCGATATCGGTTGCCTTGCCACTCAGTGGCCAGTTAGAAGTTGCAGACCTACACAGTACACATGTTGGATTGGGGACTGATGGGGGATTTTGATATGGTGCAGTACATATGCAGAAGTATGTAATGTATGTATGTACTTCAATCGAGAGCCCGGATTCTCGGGGATCTTGGCGGTGAAGAATAAAATATCTGAATGAAGCGTCCGCCTGCATATGTCTGCATGTATGTATGTACTGTCAATGTGTGGCACCTTGTCGCAAGACCATTCAGAGCATTCTTGCATCTTGCCACACCAGCGCAAGCTTCGGAATTTCGGCGGAATGGAAGATATGACTCTGCGTTTCAACTGGGAGGGGAGTTTCTGATAGTAAAATGGAGATGGCGTAAATTAAGAGTTGCCTTCCAGCCGAGGTGGCATAGAACAAATCTTATCATTCATGAAGCTCTTTTATCCAGCGGAACGCACATGCATTCTTGAATAGTGTTAGCTGGAGGAACCCCCGCCCCCGTCCGCCCCTTCCCCCCCTGGAATACTCTGCGTCAAGCACAGGGTCTGGAGAACATCAGCAGGAAATCTCGCGACAATTGCCAGGGGCCTGGGAGCCAGGGTCTCACAAAAGCCGGGATGAAAGAATGGGGTTTTTTTCTTCTTTTTTTTTCGCCTTCTTGATACGACCGACCTGCTTATGTGCATAGAAGCCTCTCAGACACAAAACTGGCAAGGATATAGAGAAGACTTGCCACACATGTTCGGATTAAGAATAGTCGACCGTGTCTTTCCCTGCCGTCTGAGAGAGAATCAAGACAGCATCCTGGGCTCTGGGCGGGGCAGTTTTAGGGTGGCAATCACCCAGCGGGGGTTCATTCCTTGCATAAATCTTCCAAGTTTTGAAATAAATAAAAGAGATTATGATGAGACAGGAAGGTGGTGTCACTCCCGCGCATGAATCGGAAACCAATGAAAAAAAGGGAAAAGACACCCGGAATTTTAGTCACCAGCCAGCATAGCACGACAGCGCATGAGAAAACCTATTCCCGCACGCACAAGTGATATCGTAAAACTTCCTTTTTCGTCGTCATTGAGAACTCGTTTCTCCGTACGATCATCTCAACCCACAAGGAACGCGAGGAATCAGATACCCTAAAAAGCTCTACACATTGGCATGATTGGCTGGTTCTTGGCTAGCCCCCATCTCTGCCGTTGAACAACGCATTGGGTGCTGCATTTGCAGAAGGCTGCAGCAGCTCTGCATCTCCTCAGTGGACGCAAGATTCCCAGCAGTAGGGAAACTAATAGGATCAATCCGCGGCCTGGAGTTACCCTCTCCGGAGTGGAGCGGGACAGGGCAGGCGAATTCGAAAAGAAGCATGCTTTTTTTCGAGCCGTCCGTCTCTCTCAGCATGCATATTTATGCAAGTTTGCTATTCAGACTCGGCAAGTTGCAGAAGGCAACTCCGATGCAACGTTGTAGTTGGCGGGGTATCGGGAGTTCTGACTGCAGGAAGAAGAGAAGAGAGAGTGTGGCTTTATTGTGGAAAAAGGCTTCTGCATGCTCTTGTGCTGCACTTGATTCGGTTAGAGTGGCGGAAGGGATGGGGTATTTGTACTTGTACCTCCACCTCAAGCGCTGAGAGGAAGTGCTAAAGTGCTCGAAAACAGAGAACTCGATCGAAACATATAGGAATCCATGGATATGGTCAGATAGGCGCAGTATGGTTATCACTGGAAACATCACCTTCACAGAGAGACCTTCCTATTCCAGACTAGCCACGCGTATTTTACACTCGTAATCTTTCAGCATGCGGCTGGCTGGTCACACCAGTTCGTCCTGGCTGCTGGGTGTACCGAGACCTCAGCGACGGCTCGTCCGGGGGAACGAAGCCGGGTCACGCTTGTACCACGCTTGTTGCGACTTGTATCGCTGCGAATCTTATTAGGGTCTGGAAGAGCTTGGTTCTTGGGGTCTGTGCTGACTCTGCGGGCGGGAGTGGTGTCATTGGGTTTTTTCATACCTGGCGCGGTATTTGATCGAAACCGCAGAACACGTGTATCGTATGGTTATTACGTGTACCGCGTTCTGTTTCGATCATGTATGGTATGGTAACTGAGAATGCTGGACTTGAGAAGAAAAGAACAATGGAAGGAATAAGATTAATAGCATAGTCATCGTCAATCACCGACAATGCATTGCCTGTGGGGAAAATAAAAATAATAAGAAATATATTCATGTTCATTTTCATCTCGTGGCTGCCCTCATCGTCGTTAGCCTGGCTCCGTACATACGAATAGGTCCAAATGCCTTGCCCGCTGCAGAGTTCGCTGTTTATCGTGCAACAGCAATTCTAGAATTGTGAATTCGGAATGATGTGTTGGGCTAATGACGAGGGACGAGAGGGAAATACAACCGTTTTACATCCTTTGCAATCCCCGATCCAGGACAACTTGAGACCTCCATCGCTCTCCGTTTTCTGCGCCCGAGATATCAAAAAGCCGAAAACCTGATCGTGCTCTGCTGAACTGGTGATGTCCTCTGATGCTTTGCTTATCAGGACATAAAAAAGGCATATGACATCGCACACTTTTATACCAGATGCGATGCCTCAAGCTCAAGCTCCCTCCGTGGCTTGTGATCCAGAATCACTCGAAACCATGGTAGACGGATATATGGCACTCGGGATCTACCACATATCGGGATCAGGGACCTCCACCTTGAAAATACCTCCAATGCCGATAGTCCTAATCGGGGAATACACGTTGTGTTTGCCGGCTTGTTTGGATAGCGAGGGTCAGATCAGCTCTATGATAGCCACACCCCTATCATGTTTACCTTCCTTCAATGGCGACCCTCTCATCTCTCATCTGCATTGGGAAGAGAGTTATATCAAATGGCAGGCGTCCTCCGTGCAACTAAGATGCCCGACACCTATTCCTCGCAAATGGACTGGTAATCAGGTGAGCCCCGAAGGGTTTGCGGGCATTTATTTCTTCATCGCAAGACGTAATTCCCCCGTTTCCACTCTAAGAACACGTAACCCACGTCCTCTCTCTATTCGCATCATTGTTACCAATATTGATCAACTTTGGAAGCATTGGCGCCACATGAATGTTGATAGTCGAGCTTTCTTTACCCCTTTTTGGTATCCAGTTGGAACCCAATTTTTTCGCCGTCACCAGCAAATCCAAGTGTAACGATGTAACAATTGAGAAGTCTGCAACCTTCTTAATCACCAAGTTAAGAATTATGATGGTCTTTCTCATACTCTGCTCCGTCTGGTAACGGAGAAGCAGAAATGATAACACTGACAACGAACTTAACAGTTGCGCATATCCGTTAGTGCTGAAATGTGAGGCTCGTTCAGCACCGGATTGAATTAGCTAAGGAGGGTATTGGATGATCCGAGATAATAAGAAGTGTGTAGAAATCATGAATAAGATAAGACTTAACGATGGGTTAAAGGAAAACCCTCGGCATCGCCATGACATTGTGCGAGGGACTTCGAGCCAAAAAAATCCATGAATGGAGAGAGACATCGTTCCCCGGTAGCTCTAGGGAAAGGAGGGATAAGTGATGGCATGAGCTGAGGAAGCGCCTAAGGTTGAATCTGAGGAGCCGTGACACGGAGGAAGGAATATCACAACCCTTCTTCGATGTCTATATGGAGCACAGAAGCCTTGAATGGCATTACTATTATCAGACAATTTGATCCGCTCAATCCTCACTGGTTTCAGGAGAAAGGCGTGGTTTTCCGTTGTAGAACCGTCAAATCAAATCAACTCAAAAGAAATGGAATTATCTTCGCATAGTTTACACACTCGGAAAACGGAGCTGCTGCTTGAAAGGGGCTTGACGGAAAAAAAAAAAGAAAGAAAAAGAATGTTGACAAGAGCGAGACTCGAACTCACGCGGGTTTCCCCATACCGGATCAGGAAATCCTTATTAAGGAATTTCCAAGTGTTCATGCGACTTGAACGGTACGCCTTAACCACTCGGCCATCTTGTCATGTTTAACATCAATTTATCGGCCGCTACGTTCTCAAGTTATCCAAGAACAATCCAGGCTCGCGGGGGATGATCTTATTTCCCGTTTCAACATATCATTCTATCTCAGCGGCCAATGCAAATATGAACACGAACGCTTCCAGGGCCGCGCTACTCACCACCGTTCCTCTACCGTCAATCCTAGTGGCTAATCATGCAGGATTGCTTGAACCTGTTCTTGACCTTGGGCTGAGGACTGCCGACTGGTACTCTTTGTGCAGGCCAAAAGAGCCATTGCTAGCCGGGATTTCGAATTAGAGCGGCAGCCGTTCTTGGAACCCTCAAACTCCAGGCTGTCACTCGGTTGAATGGAGCGATAAGTGGCCGAAGCTATGGCTAGTTGCAGGCAGGCAGCTTCCCCGACACGATTTGCTGAGGATCACCATAGATAGCAGCGTACTATAGCAACGTACAAGATCTCGATGCATATTCCAGATTGAATTTTGAAGCCATTTTGCATGCGTCCGTCTTACTACACGGAGATTTAGATTCTTTTCTTTATTAAAGGTGAACAAACCATTCCGCCGATGGCGAGCCAGACTGCTTTGCAATCTGGTGAATAAATTGAACCATCCCCGACTTCCAGTTAAGAACGCGTTCCCGTCCCAGGTCCGGGGTACATGAGCCTCAAGGATCTCAAAGCCTGATATCGACCCCGAAAACCCCAACTTGACGCACTTCTGTGGTCAGTTACAGTTACATCAGCTGCCGCCCAGATATCCGGGGTGTATGGCATGAAACCCAACAAGCATTAAGTAGCACCTCCAGGAATTTCATACGTCTATACCATACCATATGGCTATACCAAATAATTTCTTCATGTTGATGCGAAGATCTGGGGATCACCGCAGGAAACAATTTACAATCCACATTTAAGCACTGAAGAACCCAATGTCATGAGTCCACCTAACCTTCCCAGATGAATCCCACAAATAAGACTATATTTCGATATCTGAAGGCGCTACCCGTTGGGTAGATGCGTCGTGATATCAGTGACATTACCAATAAGGCCTTCGCTGGTTCTTCATTCATGAATAGCATGGAATCATCGTGGCGCATTATTCGCTGTGTTGGTTATCATTCGTGGAAGCCATGCCGCCACATCTCTGGATGGGCGAGTTTGATGAAGTCGCCCAGCTTCTGCATCACCAAAGCGATGCTTGGTGGTGAAACCTTAAAAGAAAGAGTCACCGCTGTGGGTAGCGATGGTAGCGTCTCTCAGTTATTCGATTGTTTCCTAGAGAAATGAGATACATGACGAAGTCAGAATTAAAATGGAAAGCAACCAATTATTCAGCTTTCGTTGTTTTCTTATACTCTCTAAGTTTGGAGGCCGTGTTTCCGCGCAAAATGCGACATCCCCTGAGTTTACGCGCCAAGCGAAATTCTTGGGCTGACGGGCTGAAACCTCTAACGTTGCAACACCACTCACAAAACGCAAATGATCTCCCAGAACGGATCAAGGATCAAACCTAATTGAGAAAGAGCACAAACCATACAATTCTCGCGACAGGCAGGCCTTGTTGACTGGGGGTGAGAGTTTTGATCAAACCAAGCTCCGACAGGGTGGAACGTACACCCTCCTTGGCTGTTGCATATACACCCAAAGCCACGCGCTTAGTTGCAATCTTTGGTGAAAAATGACAATGCCATGCCTGCACATCTCGCGACGCCATGAGTAAAAGATTTCTTGAACTAGGGACTAACAAATCCTTCAATTGCTAGGGCTGACATGCATCAGGAAGGTGAGGCGATGCCGCTCTGCTGAGATATGCTCAAGAGGGCTGGAGCAATCTCTTTAAAACGACGTCCAACTTCCTGCGTCCCTTTAACTTGTTTCCATTTCCATTTTCATTTCTTTTTTCAAATTTTATTGTTGTGCCTTGTTCAAAGAAAACACATAATCTCGCATCTGCACCTGGTTTATTACATCCGTTCGTTGTCCATACTTCGTTCTCTTTATCTACTGCACATTTTAATATCACGGATTACACCAAGAAGCAACGCCAAAAGGGAGAAAAAAAAAGCAGCCATCATGAAGTCTCTAATCAACACAATTGCATTCGTCGCTGCCGCCTCTGCAGCGACAATCGACGTCAAGGTTGGCGATGAAGGTCTTACCTTTAGCCCTAACACCATCAGAGCTCAAGCAGGAGACGATGTCGTTTTCCACTTCTTCCCCAGAAACCACGACGTCGCGGCAGGGCCATTCGATGAGCCCTGCACCCCATCAGACGACGGTCTCTACTCCGGCCTCATCAACATCGACGGCAGCCAGCCTGATGCTACCTTCACCGTGAGAATCAACAACACGGATCCCATTTGGCTCTACTGCTCGACCCGCGGCCATTGCCAGGGTGGCATGAGTGCTGTCATTAACCCTCCGTGAGTTTATTTTTTACCCCCCTCTTTTAGCTCCTGTTTCTTCCTTTGCCTTTGGCCCCGTGTATTAATATGCAAACCGAAAAAAATATAGGGCTAGAGGAAAGACCCTCGAAGCCTATCAAACCGCTTCCAAGAACGCTCGAAGCGTCCGACCGGAGGAAGTCCGGGGCGGTATCTTCAGGGAGAACGGGGGCGCAAATCAATCAAGCTCCGCCTCAGGGACACCTTCCAGTAGCCCCACTGGCACCGCCACTGGAACCGCCACTGGAACCGGCACCGCCACTAGCACTGGCGCTGGTGGTGCTACGACTAGCCCTACCTCAACTCCTGATGCCGCATCTTCCCTTTTCAGCGAAGGGACCATGGTGTTCAACATATTCGCAGCGGTCGTCGCGGGTGGGGTGGGCTTTGTGGGTCTTCTGTAAATGAAGATCCTCGAAGCAGGTGGTGGGGGGTCGTTGGGCAGTTGAATCTCCATCATTATAATCTTACCATCTTGTTCTTTGCAACTTAGAGTTTTACTTGTATGTTCACTTCCCATTGTATTGGGGAGGGAGTGGCTACATCATCTTGATCTAGGTTGGCGATGGAGTGTGGAGAAGGGGTTCGGGGAGAGCGAGGGCGGGGCCCTTTGCATGCGCATAATTATTTACTTGTTATGACTCTGATACTTTGATCTTGCTACTTGTTTATTAATTTTATTTTCCCTGTTGTAGATACTCCTGGCTATTTGATGAGTTAGTTATACAGGCTGGCTAGCTTAATTTCTGCTGATCGTTCTGAGTTCCTACGTATGAGTTGTACAGGACACAAAGAAAAGGAAATATTACCATGCACGTATGAGATATATGATATTACCTGCTTTTTCATGGTGTTGCGAACTTGGGTCTAGCCCCCTGATGTTGTGTACCGCCCCTTGCAACATCAAGTTTCTCGCAGTTTTAATATTCCAAAGTCGGCAAGATTGAAGAGGAGTCTTCATCATAAAAACAACCCAGCCCTCGGAATATTCCCCTTCTTTGTCTCTCGATTGCCAGTTGGTATATTCTTGAATTATAGTTTCAAAATTAATTTTGTTTGCTTGAGTCGCGTTGGGGTATCAGTACATCAGATGGGGAGGGGTACTTTCCTTGTTGGAAACCCACTGTTACGCCAAAAATATTAAAATTAATAAGGTAATAAATAGGCTTAGATCCTAATTAATGGTTGTTTTCGAAGTCTTGATAAATGGTAAGGCAGAACGATCTTTGAGTCAGTAGAGCGGCAGCCGCTGCAGGAGTAGATTACTAGCTCTGACGGTTGTCATAAGAGTACACATTTGGCTATTTTACCTAATTAGTTACCACGAATAAGTTAATAACTCCTAAATAAAATAAGCAAACGAACCTAAAGCAAATTAGGTATATACCCTCCGGCTGATCATTTCCGTGCCCATATTGTTTTCATAATCAATCTCCTTATGCAGCGCTGGCCGATTCCCTAACGCACGACGAATAATCCAATCCTTGCTCTTAATCTCCTCCTCGTCCACCAAGGCCCCCGTCTCATCCCTAAGTGTAAGTGGCGGGATACAATCACTCCCCTCCAGCCGCTTGAGAATGACGTCATCCTCTGGCCGTGCAAAGTACACAAGGCTATATCTGGTGGTCTCGGCCTGCGGGCCGGGGGGGGACTCCACTCTGTGTATATTAGAGCGTAATAGGCCATTCGTGAATTTCACCATGGCATCGCCTAAATTTATGATTGCATGACCTGGCAAGGGGCGCACGTAACACCACTCTGCGTCCTTGCCTGGTGGTAGAATTTGTAGGCCACCCACGCGGTTGAAGAGGACGGTTACGCTGCCGAAGTCTGTGTGTTGACCTAGCGCCGTGCGCCTATCGTCTGGCGGCTGCGGCGGCGCTTTGATCATTCGTACCTGATCACCGCTGACAGCGTCGAGGCGGTGCATGTTTGCTAGGGTGGATGGGGGCAGGTGGAGACTCTCATTTAGCAGGTTGAGGATCAGGGTTACGATGCTGTGGGCATTGGTCATGAATGATTTGAAAACCGGTCGTGATTTATTGAGGAAATCCGGCGCTGGCAGGGGTTCTGAGATTCCGAAGATATCGTCCTTGGAAACCTGGTTGTGTTTTTGGTTAGCCCTTGTTCAATGGACTGCGCCTATATAACTCAATAGCCAACATTATATCCGGAATCTTCAAGGACCTTGATTGCTGAAACGCTTGGGTGACTATGGTTGGTAAAAGGGGCAATGATACATTATAAAATTCATTCCTATCAGGATTCCCTTCCCTGTCCACGACCGCTGCGCCAGTTTCCTTGTATCCAAAGTATGAATTCTCTTTGCTGAAATCATAGCGCCGTTTCTCGTCGATGTCTAGTTCGAATAACTGCTCCCCGATCCCAAAGAGTTGATCAGCATCTGCCAGGATCGCAGTACCGCGCAGGTCCAAATAGAAGAACCCCAAATCCTTGCATGCGCTGTATAAGCGTAGCACTTCGGTCTCGTCTTGGCTTAGGAGCTTTTCCAGCGAGAGACGCAGAAGCGGGGCGCAGGGCACATCGTCTGCGAACGGAGGGATTCCGGCGAAGTTCTTTTCATAAGACATCTTCTTTTTTGTTCACGGGGTTGTCAACACTAGATTTGCGTCCGGAAAAGATGGGAAATTAGCTATCTCTGAGGCATTTCTCGGAGAAATAGCAACGATATAAATAGTACTTAGATCTGGCGCAATGGTTTGGGGACCCATCAGATGGCCGTGGGGCTCGGTCGTTCTCCCCGCTGCACTGATGGTCCCAGTCCACGAGGGCGGGGAAGAGCGGATATGCCGAGGCCCCGTTTCTCAAATCGCAGACTCGCAGCGAGTTCCGCCAGAAGATATCCATGGATGTATGTATATCCGGTATGTGGGGAGGGAGGGTGATCGGCTTTACAAGCGCGAGTTTTCTAATATGCCTTTTCAATCATTCATGGCTATAACTTGGCGCACACGCCAGTAATGAACTATTAATATGCTAGCAATATCCCTCTCCAGCTAGATATGCCGGGTATAAGATTTGATTTACAGATGATAGCCATGCTCATCGTTGGAATGCACTGTTAGCACTGTGGATTGGACGAGATTGTGTGGAGGCCTGCTTAGTCACCACAATTTTCTACATTGACGATCCACCACCGCCAGGACATGACATGAACGCTGCTGAATAGCCCTCACGACGATCATGGCGCCCTCAGATGCTGCCCCTAATACGCGCGCCCATATTGCGCAGCAGCTGATATCCCGCGCACATTCACCTGATACAGCTTCAACCATTTTCACGGAGAAAGTAAAGCAGAAACCTCTCTTCCTCGGCCCGACATCCCCCACACCTGCCGATAACCGCTCTCGCCGACGACTCCACCGCTTGCGAAAGAAGGAATATTTCCTGCGTAAACAAAAACCGAAGCCCCTTTCTGCTCGGGAGAAGAGACTTACTGGCATATATGACCTACCGAAGAAGGAGATCAAATACGACATCTTCAAACGCCTCCACCAGATGTGGATTGAATACATGCACGACGTGCTTGATTTGAAACGGGACAACCCCCAAACCTATATTAATCCATTAGTCCATGGGAGTTTAGTGGCCAGCGCGGATTTCCATGGAGCGGAGCTTGAGGTCGTACGTAGCAGATGTGTTAGTCGCGTTGGTGTGAAGGGCATAGTTGTGCGGGACTCCAAATTTACATTCGTTGTAGTAACAGAGAAAGATGAAGCTAAGAGTAAGTTATAATATCTGTGCATAATTTCCATTGCCACATATACCATGGGGTTTCTGGCTAACATACTTTCTAGCAATTCCAAAAGAGCATACGATATTTCGTTTCCAAGTGCCCCTTCCCACCAGCGGCGGCGAACATATGGAAACGGACAAGAGCAATCTTATTTTCGAGCTACATGGCAGCCAGTTCGAGAATAGGCCCGTTGATAGAGCCAACAAAAAGTTCAAGTGGAGGAATATAGACTATCTTTGAGTACCCCAATGTCATAACCTGCAAGCCAACTAGCTACCTCGGAGGGTCCCACGACTTTCTCGAGCAGAAATAGACACCTGCGTGGGCCTCGTTCAGTATTTCACTCGAACACCGGACGTGGGCCTCTTAACATATCTGGCAAAATAACGACAAGAGGCAATGATCCTCCTCAAGCAAGGCGGTGAATTTGTTCGTTGGCACCTTATTATTTTCGGCATGTTGATTTCAACCGACGGCAGAAAATCTACAACCATACACGGGGTGTTGAGGGGAAAGGACAAGCTAAATTTACCTGGAAGAAGAGGGTAATTCTGGATCGCTCGAATCGCGTCCTCCATCTAGCTGGGTATGAAAGAAGTGCCAGTGCTTTTTCTCGGGCGTCATGCAGGTTACTATGAGTGTCCTGTGTGCGATCGAGAGGGCGGAGGTTCCGTCAAGGGATACATCCTTAACCGTCTTGGATATCTTCTCCATTTCAATTGGGGATATACTATTGTTTAACCTGGAGAGTCCTCTGGGCGCAGTCGGGGAGATAGGATTGCTGACCGTATGCTGCTCCTAGAGCCTGGCTGATATACTAGAACTTTTGACAAGGGATGAATGGGTGTCAAATCGTTTGTTGGGACGGGAAACTTCGCGAACTTACATTCCCCTTGACGTGTGTCATATATTATTATCCGTCTATATCACCACGCGGTGCATGATTGTTGTTTACTTCCTTTACCTTGTCTCCCTCCTGTTAGCAACTACGGCGAGATTGAGTGTGGAATCGACTTCAATGGAATCCATGTTACTTATGGCACGTAATGCTCCGCCAACATGGCCTTCAATTGTTCCCCGCCTTATTCATTGCAACTCCAGTCCATCAAATTGGTTGCTACCGCTACACCTGCTTCCGAGCATGGCTGTGTGAAATCTTTATCAATTTGTGCATCTTATGTTGGTTCTGGATATTATTGCATGTGCTTGAGGAAAAGTAAAATTTCAAAACGTTTTAAGGAGTAAATTTATACATTCCTCATCATATCAATACTCAACGTGATGCGTTGTTACATTAGTGGCGTTCACCTTGAAACGGTGTCCATTAAGCTAATACAACAACTGGCATAATACCGTCGTCATAATTCAGATGACATATATAGTGAAAGCTTCGCTCTCAACGCTAGTAGCTCCTCTTATATATCCAGTCGCATCCATTGTCCACTACTTCACGGTAGGCAGGCTGTTGGTGTGTTCGGCTGGCGGGCATTCCACACAAGGTGTGCTACTGGGCCTGTTTATTGAGATAGGCAATCCCAATCCTACAGCATGGAGTTATTGTCGACCTTGTTACTTCGAGGTATCTTGCGTTGTATCTTGTTGTTGGCACCGTGGTTTGATGTGAAGAGTGGATTCTCAACCATGGCTGGTTCTTGGTAGATAATTAGGTTACGGATGATGTATTCCATTTGAAGTTCCACAGAACACGTCGTTTCCAGGCAGACTCGATGCCCCTCTCGGAATGCAAATGCCATGGCTATCGCCAAGTCCTAACCGGCTAATATCGAGGTGCATACCGCCGATGTTCAGTGGGGTATTGTAAAATATCCACAAAAACTGTAAGAATTTAACAGTTTCCGCAGTCACATTCCAGCCCATTCGAAGCTAAAAGTCCTCACAGCATCAGGAGAAGTCTCGATATGAGTGTCATCAGGCCACTCTGCACCGCCGATAAGAAAACCTTTCTTGACGCCAGTTCCCAATCTACCACCGGCGACCAGGTTCATGATGTCGAATTCTTCATCCCACTCCGCAGAGACGGCTAGGAAGTGGGAGTGGAAACGTAAAGGGTCCCCGGGATATGCAAGGTACTGGCATCCAAATCGGAGGCCGGGAGATAGGAAGTATCCTTTCGAATGTAAGTGGGCAAAAAGAGGGTACGACTGTGGTACATCTGGAAGAGTGGGAGGCTGAGGGGGTGGAGCTTTTGGAAATAAACCATCTGATGTTGCGGGGGTGATTCCAAAGACAGCTTCCACGGCAATGGATTGTCTTGAAGGTGTAAGGGCTGAGGAAGGAGTTTGAGTAGAGCTTTCAAAGAGATGTTCCTCAGACTCTACTTCATTGGAACTTTGAGAAAGCGCTGAACCCTGGATCTGCAATGGCTCTGCCGGTTTAGCAGCGTTTCTCTTTTCTAATTTCTTGAGTGCTTCCTCTCTCCGTTGTTCCTTACGGCCCGCCTGGGCTAGTGCTGCTTGACGACCTTCTTGCTCGAGACTCTGAAGGTAACGATGCCGGTCCTGGTTAGCTAAGTTCTGCATGCCATCCTCATGAACCTTGGCATCATCAACGATATAAGCCACGCCCTTCTCAACTAGTATTCTTGCCTCCTCTGGCATAAGCTCCAGGGGAAGTCCAAGGAAGACATTCTGCTGGGGAATTTGTGGTAGAGTTCCTATCAGCGCACCACAAATATTGTGCTCCCGACGTAGATATGTCGCTATATCGACTGAGAAGAGGAAATAATGTCCGGATACCAGACTTATAGGAACTGGTAGATCTGGGATGCTCCCCATGGTGATCTATGGGTCATTGACCCGGAGCATCAAACAATGGCTCTACCCCGTATCGAGTCAACTAGTGGGAAGATGTTAGCCATTTACAGTTTATGCCATGGGTATCATTGATATATAGCAGTGTGCGTGTAATGAATCATAAGAAAATTTACGTTTCTCGTCACACGAATCCAGATTGTAACTGAGTTTTTCAGGGGATTGACAGATTTGTAGAGGATTAATCATTTAGGAAGGGAGTGGCTATCTCAAGAATGGCATTTCGATTTTTCACTTACCAGTTACACATTGTCATGAGCGTCAAATGGTTGACCATCCTCAGTGGGTTAGGATTTCGAAGTTGTTTGAAAATGGGAAGAAAATTTGTTCTCTCAGCATGCTCAGCCTTGATTTCAATTACGAACTAACTACTTTTGGATTAATAGGCCACTATGCACGCCGTGCAATCATGTGACTTGGGTCTCCCCCGCTTGGTCTCAACTTCAAACACAGCATGCCAATGTTCAATGCTAGCATTTACTATTATTTTACGCATATAAGGCAGTGTCGTTACCTCCAATGAACGTCATATGGCTTCTCAGCCTCCTTTTTCTGGGACCGTTTCTCCTCTTTCTAGGTGAGTACCTACACGAATACCACATACGTAATTATCGGCCTGAGCTAACTCAGGTTACAGCGTTCTTGGTGTTGACCTCCTGCCTCGGGGATAGCTTCCGTGCCCGCATTGCAGGTTTCTCTATCAACCCCCGAGAGGCCATCTACGATCGTAGTTATTTACGGACGATGACGAATAGCGGTTCTGCTATGTCCGAGCAGATTGAGCTGGAGGATATGTTAAGAGATCGTGCGGATGGTTATGACAGTGATGATGCCTTATGATCGAGATATAGGTTACAACTTCAATCGCCCAGGAAAATAATTTGGAGATGATTAGAATTCTAGATGTTCTTTGCTCGTTCCACCTGAAGCGCCACCCTGCTGTGCTTCGTTATCCCCCTCCACGGGTGGCAGGCTAAATGGCTTAATCGCGAATTTCCTCCTGCTAAGAGTGAAGGCCCAATCGTCGCCCAAACTGCTATCCCCGCCCCCTCCTCCTCGCTCATGCAGAACGGGCAGCCGGTGGATTTTGAGCATACCCTGTGGTGGTTCTTCCTGTGCTGTGGCTGCTCCCGATGTTGCAGATGGGCTGGCATCGGATAGATGTGGGAATGGTGCGAGCTCGATAACACCGTCGCTCAACAGTTCAATCCATCGAGTGAGTCCCGAGGCTCTAGGGTATAGGAATAATGGGAGGGTAATCATCGCCGTTACGCGATTGGAGTACGACGACAGAATGGCGCGCATGGAATGCAGAAACTGCAATACGTGTTCGGGTTGGCTGGCATGTTGGGGGGATAAAGCTGGAGAAAGCAGGGATGGAATTATTATTCGGTGGATGATATTTGGGGGTGAAGTTGATATTGCGGTAGACAGTCGATGGAGAGCAGATGTATACGGAGATGCAGTTGGTGTTGAGGAGGTTGAAAGAGGGATGTAATTTATAGAAGGGAGAGAGGGATGGGCCAGGCGCTTCGTTAAATCAAACGTGTGACAGAACACCTGCGGTGCCGGGGAGGATTGTGATGAATCTGCAGTTTTCTCTGCTGTTGGAGCAGGGGCTGTTTAAATAATTAGCCATTCGCGTACTTCCTCAGACACCCTGACCAAACCATGCTCCTCGTCATGGGGGAAATAGACACAAAAATACTATCGACCAACATACGTCTAGACCCTGCGACGCCAGCGCCAAATTCGCCCAATCGCTCGTATCTCCAGGCTATTTTCATTTTCTCTCCTGCGCTTTTACTAGGTTTATCATCTGCAGTTTCTCCCGCTCCAACAAGCCCAGGAAGAGCCCTCCCCCATTGCTCACCAACACCAATGATATGAAGTTGGTGCTCTTGAACCACACCCTCAGCAGCGAAATACCTCAGCAAAGCACCGGCAAAATCGGTTGTACCGCTTTCTTCAATCAGAAGCGAATTCCCCAGCACTAATCCTGCATGCCCGGCTAATAAATTATCTAAGGTTGGAGTACCGGTGGACGTGGTCTGTCGCCCATCGATAGGTGAGGGGCGGAGTCCTAAAGTAGGCTTGGTGGGCGGTTGCGGAGGCTGCGACGGTTGCGAACTGGGTAGATTGGGAGCAATTCCACGGGGTGAGCCTGGCGATAGACCTATATTCCTTTTGCGGAATGACATGATAGCGAACAAAAGAGGATGTTGAAAAATTTCTACATATAGCTTATGAGAATCAAGAAGTTCGTCACAAAATAACTTAAAAAGAGCCAAGGGCGAGAGATATTTACTGCTGCTTTAGGGGACCCCACCGCTTTAATGTGTAGTTAAGTTAACTACGGAAGAATTAGTCATAAAGCAGCACCACAACGCGCCCAAAAAAATTGATAAGATAAGCCGCAAAAGAGCCTTTTTCCCAACAGCACCGCAAGGTCTTAGGACCAGATCAAACCCGGAACGGACAGCGCATTATTTCTACAATTCTCCAGGCAATACCCACCAAACTCGTATAGCGCATTTATCTTACAGCTCAAAAGAAAAGGCGCAAAACCCTACCTCTAACTGCACGGGCCCGCAACCTGCGGCCGATTCCCTCCGCCTCCGCCGCTGCAACCATGTCAGACCCCGTCCTTTTCGAAGACACCTTTACCATCACCTCCATCAATGCGCAAAAATACGACCGTGTAGCGCGCATCAGCTGTACCTCTTCCGACAACCTGACAACTTTCACCCTCGATGTGAACACAGAACTATATCCCGTCTCGACAGGAGAGTCATTGTCCCTCGCGCTTGCGTCTACGCTTGCTCTCGATGGAAAAGATGATAGCGCGGGTGGTAAAGGTGCTTGGAGGGATGTTGGCATGGGGGAGCAAACGCTGGCGAACGACTATGACTACGTATGCCATGGGAAGGTGTATCGGTTTGAAGAAGGGAATACGGCGGAGAATATGTGAGTTGGAGATTTGTTTGAATACATCGTATTTATTTGTTCTGCTCTTTTTTTTCCTTTTTTCTTTTCTTTTTAATTTTTTACCATAGAAGTTGGAGCTAATAGAATGCCTCTTTGATCTTGTGTAGGTCTGTTTTCGTTTCGTTCGGAGGGCTTTTGCTCTACTTGGAAGGCCCATATAAGAAGCTTAATCCGCTCAGGATCGATTATATCTACCTTCTGATGAAAAAGTAGCGGATATAAACTCATATACCTAGGGAGAAAGTTCAAGTTTTTTTTTACTTGGTGACTTCAGCGCCTATTCTCGATGTGATACACGCGCATGACCAACCTGCGGAACCCAATAGGTTCAAATGAACGGAGATGCAAAAATTCAGTTAGAATAATATTCTTTAGAGCTTGGGCATTGAGCGTGGGCGTTTTCTCTCATTCTTGTAGTTATTATTATTATAATACCTGAAAATAAAACTAGGACAAAGCTCGAAAGGGGTGTCTGTGAGAAAGAAACCAAACTTGTGTCAACTCTATCAGGGCGTGCAACGGAAAGCCAAGCCAAAGATAAATGATAGAGGGAAGCGGAAAGAAAACAAAATGAAAATAAAGAGAAACGAAGGTAATGGAGAAAAAGGCTCCATTTAGAGATTCGGGTACCCGAGCTTTCGGTGCATTCTAGAACAGATCTCCTCATAATCAGACTCCCCTTCTGGTGTGATAAACCCATGTCTGACGAGGAAGTCGACAATAACTATTCCGCAGTTAGACTTGAATTTACCCTTCTTCAGCTCCGTAATAACGTCATTGATCGGCATCAGAATGAAATTAGCCGCCTCGTTATCATTCGGCTTAAGAATGACATTGGCAGGAAGCTTGAGATCGTAGATATATTCGCATTCCGGTTGCAATAGCCCCTTTTCACCACCAGCATCCGCACCCCGTTCGTAGATGTAGCGTAAAGCACCGGTCGCTATCGCGTTCTTCGCCACTTCCCTCGGGATAGATGCTTCCTCATCGGCCTCCCGCAACATGCATTCAAACGGGGTTTCACCCGTTGCCATACCACCGGCAACGCTGTTATCCAACATTCCCGGAAATGTTGACTTTGTCTCCGAGCGTTTTGGGACCCAAAGCAGGTACTCTCCCTTGTCGTTCACGACGTAGGCTGTCATGTGGATGCCCCAGGTCTGGATACCAAAGAGACATGCCGCCGCACGCTCCATGCTGCCGAGCACCTCTTCCTTCCCGGGGATGCGGATGGGGTAGTTTTCATTGCGCCACGCCTTCCCTTTAATGACGTCGAATGTATCACGGGCCGTTTGGAGTGTGTCGTTGATTAACTTAGTGCGCTCATCTGCTGTTGCACCTATGGGTGACATAAGAGTTATCGTGCTGGACTCTCCTTCTGCGCTCTTGACCACCTTCCATGTTGGTTCAGGCCACGGGAACTTTTCGACTATCTCATTCCTCATGTAGCCGAGGATTTGGGGGTAGCCATTGATTTTGAATGCATGGAAGGCGGAAACGTATTTCCTGTAGGCCTCAACGTCCTGCTGCATATACGGGAACCTGAAGAAGATCGCGTTGTCAGCTTGATGATATATGTTAAATATATGGTTGATGTAGGGTAGGAGGGTATACGAATCACACTCGTGGACTATATCGAGGTAGGATTTGAGTTTTGTTTGTGGTATTTTTGTTTGCGTTGGTTTCGTTGATTCCGACATTTTTGTACGGATTGTATGTCGAGTATAGATAGAGTCAGGGTAAATCCAAGAATGATTGAATTGTATTTGTGAGAAATGACTTCATCAAAGTAAAGAGTCAAGCAAGGTCTGCTTTGATGAGGGACTGGATTGTTGGTATAACTAATAGATCTGTTGGCTGTTCTGTTGAAATATGTGGGAGAGAGGGGCGTCCTTTTTTAAATTGCCGGAGGGGCTTAGTTATCGATAAGGCATCCTCCGCCGGCAATATCTCTTTCTCACAAAAATTGAGTGAAAGGAAACCGATCTGCAACCAGCGCACAAAGGCTCAGGCCTCCATAATTTTGAACCTTCATTGAACAGCAGCCGGCCACATAGCTAATAACAGAGGGATCCTGCAGCGCTAAGTCGCATGAAATATTTGTGGAAGGTGTAAAGCTTGCTTGATTGAAAAGGTTGCTATTATTATTATTATTCTTCAATTATAGATGTATGCAGTCAGAGACTATGACATCTACCTGAGAAATTTCAGTTCTCAGGGTTTTTCTAGAATTTATACAGTCAATTATATACTTATTAATTTCAGACATGCAATATTTAGAAAATTCCAGCTCAGAATACTTAACATCTTTTGATACTCTGAAATTATTTAAAAGATATATAAAGAAAAAGATGTCAGATTGCCTCTTTTGCAAGCTGACTGCTTTCACTTACACACTTGATAAAGCTGTTAATTCATACAATCAGCAATTACAAGCTCTTTATAAAAAGTCATATAGCAGCTAGCTTCTTATAAATTATAATAATAATTAACTACTTCAAGAACTTCTTCATTAGATTATATTTCTCTTATATATAAGAATTTACTTTAATCATTGCTATATTCTTTCACTATATACTATTATTATATACACAAGCTATAAATTAACTTTAATTAAATTATTTCATTTAGTAATTTTATAATAATTTCATCTCTATTAATTATTCAGATCTGTTAATCTCTTATTCAATCACTGATTTTACACTTTTCACAGCAAGTATTTATTTAATTATTTTTATTGATTTTTCAATTAATATCTGTTAATTTTTTATTAACTGTTAATCTCTGTGAATTTTTCACAGTAAGTACTTTACTTAATTACTTTTATTAATTTTTTATTCAATATTTAATCTATGTATTTTTATAAATGAAAATATAAATAATGATAGAAAAGTTCGTAAAGTAGTTAATTAATATTATAAAAAGTTAACTATAATTCAAAAATTACATAAGTTAATATAGAATTATAAATATACACTGACTTTTTATATATAAGATAAAATAATTAATAAGACAGTTAAAACTGTTGGAGCTACTACACAAGCCCTAACCCACGTGACCCACACACATATATTTAGCTTTCACTAGCTACTAGTTAGATAACAACAACAACTAACCACGTTCAACCTCTCTCACAGGTTATGAAGCTCTTGCACTTCTACGAAGCATTATAACCATGCAATAATCATACAATAAGCTTTTCAAATAGCTGCTTCTTTCATTCAAATACCTCATATCAAATGCCTGTCAATACTAGATCGATCAACCGCGAAGAGATCTCAGAGAATCAGATAGCTGGATCCTTTCCAACATCAATAACCGCGCGAAGACAACAAGAATAATCAAGCCCAAGATAATCCTCCAGAACGCGAAGATATGACAGACTGCAATGAAGCCATCATTCTGAGACAGCATATTGCTCAGTTGAATGACAAGAACACAAAAAAATCCTGATAATGATGCCCAATAACAATGCCAATAACAATATCAATATCAAAAATACTGTGGATCCGGAGGTCAGATTTCACAAAACCATAACCATAATCAAAACCATAACCCTGTGGTATCAGCGATATCATGGATATAACCATAACCTGTGGTGTCAATGATGTCACGGACATAATCATAACCATAACCACCAATATCAACGCCAAAACAATGGAAATACCGATATGATGCCAGGCCACAGTGCCTATATGATGCCAGGCCACAGTGCCTATATGATGCCAGGCCACAGTGCCTACGATGCCAGGCCCCAGTGCCTATATGATGCCAGGCCCCAGTGCCTACGATGCCAGGCCCCAGTGCCTATATGATGCCAGGCCCCAGTGCCTACGATGCCAGGCCACAGTGCCTATATGATGCCAGGCCACAGTGCCTACGATGCCAGGCCCCAGTGCCTATATGATGCCGGGCCACCGATTGCCCATATGATGACCTATGCCGATGACCTATGCCGATGACCTATGCCTATGCCTATGACGATGAAAACCACAAAAATAATAAGAATGAGATCCCGCGGCGTTAGAACAACTGGGGGTAATACCAATACTGAAAGGACGGATTTGGGTGTTCTTCTTGCATGTTTTTTATGTTTTTTCATGTATGGAGCTAGTTGTTATGAGGAAACTAGACTCTACTTTTTGTAATTAATTTTTATTGCAGATTTGAATGATTTGGGTGCTTTTGACTGCGTGGGTTAACTGGCCTGCGTAGCATGGGGGGGTGTTGGAGCTACTACACAAGCCCTAACCCACGTGACCCACACACATATATTTAGCTTTCACTAGCTACTAGTTAGATAACAACAACAACTAACCACGTTCAACCTCTCTCACAAAAACTTCTTATATTTATAAGTATATTTAGAAATAACTCTGTTATTATTTAACAGCTATATATTTTTTCAAATTATATTTTCTTTTATTAAATTTAATTATATTTATATAACTGTAATATAAACTCTAACTTTATACAGATTAATATACAGTTATTATTTATAATTATATAGTTTATCTCTGATTTAATTAATATTTTACTTATACTTATGTAAAAAAGCTTTTATTATATTATATTATATAAGAGGTCTATACTAAATAGATCAGTATTAATATATAGATCTTATATAATAAAAGTAAAAAATATTAGAGAAGAGAAAAAGAGAAAGTATGAAAATCAGTAATTAAAGTAAATATTATAGCAGATTACATCTGATTAATAGACTATTTTATTACACTTTATAAATTTCTGCTGAAAGCTTTAATTCTTGATCACTGATTCTTAGCTGAAGAACTTACAGAGTTTCTATTCTTTCACTCTGAGCTTCACTTTATATATATATAGATATTTACTTATTTCTATTCTTTTATTCTGAAGCTTTATCTTATATATGTATAAATATTCACTCTGATTATTAATTCTTCTACTTTCTCTTTTACTTTTCTTTTCTAATATTTTTCACTTTTATATTATAAGACCTATATATATTATACTAATCTATTCAGTGAAGGCATCTTATACTTGAAAAATGTTCATCATCTTCTCATTAAAAATGATTATTCAGTAAGAAGATATTTAAATATATAACAATGTGTAAGAAATAGAGAAACAAATAATTAGTTAAGCAGACACTGAGTTTCTAAATAGAAGCTTGCTCACTAGTCACTCTAATCTTATAATAAGATCTTATAAAGAGAATAAGAGATTAGTGAAAGACTTAAGAGTTCTAACATCTTAGATGTATAAGATATTCATATAATTACACTTCTTTTAATTGCACAGATATCATATATCTGATAAATAATAGCTATATCTATCAATAATATGAGAGAACTCTTGAGCGCGAGCATAGATATAGTATCATAGTAACTCTGAGCAATGTTGAAATTACAATAGTAATAGATAGCTGATATGCATACAACTTAACAATGTCAATATAAGGAAATTTAACAATTATCTTAACTAGAAACCTCTGCACAAGTAATTTCAACACTGACTGAATCAGATATAAACATGATATAAGTACTGAAGAAATATCTAGACACTCTTACATATTTCAATACTTCTGATCTCACTCTCTATCTATCATGAAGATTGAAAATGCTTGTAAAACTAAGTGTAGATAAAGATGTCATTGATTTATTAACTAATCAAGATTAGTATATTAATAATCAATTAAAAGATTATGTAAGATAGAAGTGTCATTCATAAATAAAAACATGTGAACTGATGTTATATATGTCTGACAATATCATCAAATATCTTAATATTCTGTTTCAAGATACTGCTATATAACAGAAGATATTAGATTAGTTACAGAGTATTTAACAGAGAAATACTTCTCTTATAATATTTATTTCTGATTTTAACATCAAGATTCTAGAAGCAGGTAATTAATCTTGAAAGAATTGAATGAAGATTAGCACGCTTAAGAAGATACTAACTTTCAAACTTCTACAGACTCTTATAAGTGTAGATAAAGATCAGACTTATAAAAACTTCTATATATAACTTCAGACATTGAATGATCATCTTATTAAGCTTAAGAGTGTATAGAATAGTAGTAGAAGATATTACATCTCAGTCACTCATATATCTGCATCAAAGAATAATAATAATACAGATATTATAAATTGAGTAGACTTAAATATCTATGCATAAACAAGGGTCTCTGTTAGACTGGCCGCTGAGATCATGAATTTCATGTTTGGTCTCATTTGATCTGATCTCATACATTTCTTAACATGAATTCTGCTGAGACTAGTCATTAAAAAAACATGTAAAGTGACTATATATAAGATCTTAAAATGAAACCATGACTTGAAAAAAATGAGAAAGTGATTTCATTTGATCTCATTTAGTCTCATTCTTAGCATAAAGTTACTATTTTTAGACATTTTAAGGTTTTTTTAGATTATTTTTAATTTTTTAAAAAGTAACACTTTTTGATAATGCTCAAATGAGATTTAAAGTCATTTAAAGCAATAAAAATAATTTAAATTGAGAAGTGAAAATCATGATCTCATTTGAAAAATGTGATAAGAGTAGACAGTAAGTCTCACTGAGACAGTATGAGACTACTATCTAATGTTAAAACCATGTAATGAGATCAGTCGAATTGGTAATGAGACTATCAAAAAATCTGGTCCTGGTCTTAGACACGGTCACACGGTCAGTCTAGTCTCTGTCACTTAAACAAGCTTTCAAGTCCCTGGAATTGCTTTTGAAGAAGTCACTGATTGATATCAATGAGAAGTGTGTATTAATTATAACTATTCAGAATATATTGCTTTGAACTGCTAATCAGTCTATATATCTTCTCACTTAAAAGAAAGATTAACACTGACAGTTCATGTCAATCATATTACATTGAAGAAAGATTTAGAAGATAACTATGAGAATACTCTGATAAAACAGAGAAAAGATTAACTTCTGTTCAAATTCTTAAGCAGAAGCTTGAAGAGGTTAGATGATAATCATTTAAAGAGAAAATGATAATAAATATAATTCTTGTATCTACTGTAGTAGATAACATCATTAACATGTATAATATGAAAGTCATGATAGACAGTAGTCTATATTATTATACAATGATTAAATCTTCAGTTGTAAGATATTATAATCCTCAGTGTATTCTCTTATTAAAACCTCAACTTCTTGCAGAATTTAATAACTCAAAAGATGTTTGCATCTGTTATATAGTGAAGCTAAACATAGATATTAGAGAACATCAATATGAAGATATCTATGTATATAAAGTTAATAATCTTGACTATAATCTTATACTAGAACTTGTCTAACTATCTGAATAAGATATCTTACTGAATGCTTAAAACAGGAGTTTAATATTCTTTAATAGTAATAGAATTCATGAAGATAATGTTCACAAGACTATAAAGCTGACACAGACTGTCAATACTTATGAAATGCTCTGAAAAAGAAGTCATTGACAAGATCACTGACAAAGTCACTGATAGCAGAATTATATAGTAATCTATTTCATTAATCTGACTAATATCAAGAAAGCTCTAGAAAAGTTATTCTGTACTATAATAACAGATTCTCATATAAAACTCTCTCAATAATATCATGAATATTTAGATATCTTTTGACAAGATAATATTATAAATATACTTCTCTTACAAGACTCAGAAGTAAATCACAGTATTAAGTTAAAAAAGAAGAATAATAAGAATTCTGAATCACTGTGAGACTCTCTTTATAACATATTCTGAGATGAACTTCTTCTTCTTCAGAAGACACTCAATAATCTATTGAATAAGAAATTTATATATATTAGTAACTCTTTCACTGCAGCAAGAATGAATATCAAATAGACAGATATATACTCAACCGCTCCACCACGAACTCGCTCAATTTTTCGAATAAGAACTCGCCGTTAGATCCATCGAAAAGCCCTCGATCATACGAGCATTTTGACCCCATCGCCGACCGCATACCCCGTGTGGTCGTGGAGTTATCCAGCCAAATGTGAACCAGACATTGTTTGAAACTCCTGTGTGGGATTATCCCCTGTTCTCCCCTATTACACCACAACCCCGGGCCAAATTGCCATACAAAATGTAAGATGAAGAGACCTAGCCATATACACCAATCTTCTTGATTTTAGAAGATTCTCAATCTGTAATTGTGAAGATATCTGAGAAGTGATCTTCATGAAAACCCTGTCCATCATTAATATTTCAAAACATCAACACTCTCAACTGTTTTTCTTCTCAGTAAGCTTCTGATTATGTTTTCTGATATAATTTTGCATGGATACAGATGCTGATATTTGTTTTTATTTATATAAAATCTTTATATATTGACAGATCTGTGTTCACTGATGATAGTGAATGCCTCAATATTGAATCATTGATTGAAAACTTGAAGAATATAATAATGAAGAAATTATCTGTATTATATATAACTGAGTCTTCTATGTCTCTCTCTGTCTCTTCTGTCACTGTTTCTCCCTCTGCTGCTCTCTTTCAATCTTCTATTCTTGTCTCTGTTTCTGATTCTTCTGCTTCTACTATCTCTGTTCTTATAACTCTCACTTCTACTACTTCTGCTTCTTCTGCTTCTGCTGTCTCTGCTTTCATTATCAGCTCTTCTCATTTTAAGAAGATGTTGTGTAGACTTAATGAACTATGTTTCTCAGTGTATATACTTCTGTTCTTCTTACTGATCTCTAAAATAATTTATTGTATAAAAACTGTATACAATATAACTATCTGAAGCTTGATTACAGATGCTGATTATTATATTCATTTTAAGTATTTATAATAAGATAATTATTCATTTATATCAGAGAATCATCTCTCTCTTCAACAGTGTTGAGATTATAAGTCTTTTCTTTTTTCATCTTTTCTTTCTGACACTGATTTTTCTGTTCTTAGAGAAAATCATTATGAGTTTTATTATGCACAAAGTCATGATATTCACAGATATTAAGAAACTTTTTACAACTGTTAAATTCAATATTACAGATATATTCACTCTGATGAATATCTTCAGAATAATTAATCTGTATCAGTCTATTCTCTGATATTTATTATTCAACTTCATGATGCAGATGAAGAATATCTGTGTTTTCAGAAACAGAAACATGAATATCATATCACTACAACAACCGCTCCACCACGAACTCGCTCGATTTTTCGAATAAGAACCCGCCGATAGATCCATCGAAAAGCCCTCGATCATACGAGCATTTTGACCCCATCGCCGACCGCATACCCCGTGTGGTGGTGGAGTTATCCAGCCAAACGTGAACCAGACGTCGTTCGAAACTCCTGTGTGGGATTAACCCCCATTCTCCCCTACCACACCACAACCCCGGGCCAAATTGCCATACAAATTGTAAGGTGAAGAGACCTAGCCATATGCACCAATCTTCTCGATTTTGGAAGATCCCCGATCTGTAGTTGTGGAGATATCTGAGGAGCGACCTCCGCGAAAACCCTGTCCATCTTTGATGTTCCAAAACACCAGCGCCAAGTCCCACCCTCGTACCGCCCTTCCTAATCTGGCCCATCCCTGGCAGAAAAATACAAAAAGATACCTCGGTGATAATATCAAGCACATAACCAATGGCCACTTCTGAAGTGCAACCTCCGCGGTCTGTCTTCAGTGTATCTAGACATCAATGCCAAGTCTCACCCTTGTACCACCTGTCTCAATCTGGCCCATCCTCAACAGAAAAGTACAAAAAGATACCTCAGCAACTGTACTTGATACATAATCAGCAGACATGACAACTATAAAATCAGTATATCTCAAGATCTGACTGAGCCTTTGATCCCTGCACAGTGAGATATATTAAATCTAGTTTTAATATCTCAATATTTAATAGATTCTGCAAGAGATTGAGAACAGCAACACTAGGTTTCTATTAAATTTGAGAATTAACTCTATATTGATATAATCATTGACAAAGTCTTCTATTTTGAGATATAAATAACCAGTTTCTCTACATTCTGCTGATAATATTTACATTATCATATAGAAACAGACTTATATTCTCTATAATATCAAGACTCTGAAGAGAGAAAGTCTTGATAGAGAGTATACAGTAGTATATATCTTAGCAGTTTCTATCTCATTCTTCTGCAGCAGTTAATGTAAAAAAAAAAGATCTTAGAAATAGTTTTTTACTTCTCTTGAAAAAGTAAGGTGTTTTTCTCTGAGTTTTACACAATATTCTTATAAAGAATTAAAAACAGAGTTGTTTTCTATCATAATTTCATATTCTTTTAAGTAAGAATTACTTTTTCAGTAGCTAAAGAGCTTTCATTAATACTTAATTCTTTTTTACACTCTTTATTAACTGATTTGAGTTGCACACTTGTTGTGTGAGAAGAATTGAATAATTTAGAATAAAATTGAATAGTTTTAATCAATTTCTCTGTAAAAAATTGATTTATTTTTTATCAGTTTTTCTCTCAAAAACTGTTATATTATCTGATTTATTATTAATTGATATCATACTTTTCCTCACTGTATCTCAAGAAAGAGATTGTAAAGATTTTATTAATTTATCTTAAAAATCAATTTTAGTTTATTAGATTCTCTTCAAAAATCTAACCTAGTTACTGAACTAGTGTGAAAAAAAATCAGATGTTTTATATACAAAAGTCTGTTATTCTTCTTTTGAAATAGTCTGATCAACTTTTCAATTGAAAACAGACTTAAAAACCTCTTAATTGAAACAGTCTGATCAACTTTTCAATTCAAAAGAGTTTAATAAATATCTCAATTGAATTAGTCTGATCAACTTTTCATTGAGTAAGAACAATGAGTTCAAAAGTACACTCAGTTGATGTGAAAAAGAATGCTTTCTTAAATACTATTTCTGAGATTAAAATTCTGAAGAGAAGAAAGAAAGAAGAAATAAAGAAACAACAAGTTCTTGAAATACAGAAACTTGAAAAAGCAAGTAAAATTCTTGAAAAGCAGTGTCTGAGTGAGATGAATGAAGAAGTTCTGTTAATTCTTCATACTCAGACTAGACAACTACAGAAAGTGATCAAGTTCAAACTTGGAATTTCAAACACAGTTCAAAAAACTTTGAAAATTTCTAATACAATCACTGACTCTTCAGTTTACTCTTTCTTCTTTTCTACTTCATCTTCTTCTTCTTCTTTAAATTAGAAGAAAACATATGCTCAAGCAGCAGAATCTGCTGTCTTCAAACCTGCTATCTCTAAATCTGCTATCTCAAAATCTGCTCAAAATTCTGAGAAAACTGAGAAGAATACTGCTCATACTTCTATTGATAGAAGAGTGAAGAAAAAAATGTAAAAAGAGAAAAATCTTCAAATCTCCAGAAATAGAAGACTTATTCTCAAAGTCTCAAATCAGGACATATTGCAGAGAAATAAGCTAAACTCAAATCTCATTTTCAGAATTAGAAATGAAATCAACCAGCAGTTCTTTTCTCAGTTAATAACTGATATTAAAGTTTAAAAATTAGTTATAGCTTCAATTGAGTTATTCTTCTTTGAAAACTTCATCATTCTGATCACAATACCTGAATTCAGTGCAGAATTTCTTATTCAGAATAAGAATCTCTGAAAGTCAGCAGTAGAATCTCTGTTAAACACAATAATTCTATCTGAGAGAGATAAAAAGTGAGATAAATTCATTCTTCATGATATTTCAGTTGAAATCTTTGACTGTGAGAAAGGAATACTACTTCTTAAAAATGAATTGAAAGAATACAATTCTGTTCAACTGAGAAAAGAGCCTGTATGACTTAATTCAATTGAGTTCAGACAGAGTAGAAGAAATGCCTCTGTTCTAGTGTATATAAAGACACTTGAATAATCAAGAATCTCTGAAGTAAGAGTAGCAGATTTGAAAATGAGAGTTCATAAATACAAAGACTCAAGAATGAATCTCAAAGCTCAAACACAGTGTTCAAACTGTCAAAGATATGAATACTTTGCAATCTCTTATTTCAGAGACTCAAAATGTGTATTCTGTGCTAGAGATCACAAAACTAGTGAGCATAATTATGAAACATGCTTAAAAAGAGATGAAATATGTCAATATACTCTGCTTAAGTGCTTCAATTGCAAAGAAAAACATGCATCTAGCTCAAAAGAATGTGTATTTGCTTCAAGAACTCAGAAGAACTGGAGAAAAGATGAAGCTCAAAGTGAATTTAAAACTGAAGAGAAAAGTCAAGCTAGTAAATCTACAACTGTAAGCTTAAAAAGAAGAAATTCTTAACTATCTAGATCTTCAAACTCTAACTCTTCAGCTAAGTGTAAACAGAATTTGAATTCTCAAACTTCTGTTAAGATTAGAGAATTGAGAAATGACTCTGATAATAAACTAGATATAATGCAAGCAGTTGAGATTTCTACTTTTCAAAATAGTTATAATCTACTATCTGATAATAGAAATTAGATTCTACTCTATCTCTACTCTCTCTTAGTATGAATATACAACAAAAATAATAAAAAAAGTTTAAAAACTCTTCAAAAATCACATTTATTTAAAATAATGTGAATAGAAACTCAAATTGCATTTATTCTTATCTTCAGATTGTATTTGAATAAAAAGTTGACTTTGTACTTCTTCAAGAACCAAACTTTGATACTGAGCAAAAGTACATTATTTCTCATTCAAGCTATTACTGCTTTCTTCCTGAAAAATCTGAGATAAAATCAAGAGTAGTGATCTATGGAAGAAAAAGATCAAGATATCAATTTAATTTAAGATTTGATATTATATCTGACTCTGATATTCTAGTGAGTGATATTATAGATAAAGAGAATGAGTTTGATACTATTCAACTTATAAATATCTATAATGAAAAGTCATTGAAAGAAAACAACAATATCTGAACAATTGATAGAGAATTTTTGAATATAACTCTCTTAAAAAACTCTATAATTATAGAAGACTTTAATACACATCATCTCTGATGAAACTCAGAGTGCATAAGAGCAGTAAGAGCAGATAAACTGATTGAATGAACTTTTAAACATTCAATAGATTTAGTTAACAAGTCTGATCAATAAATATTCTTTAGAAAAGACATGAAACAGAAATCTATTATAGATCTAACTTTCATATCATAAAATCTAATTAAGAAAAGACTTATAAACTGATTTATTAATTCAAATGAAACCTCAGAATCAGGTCATGAGATCATTCAATTTGATATTGAACTGAGTGAAAAATAAAGAAGTGAAAATCCTCTTCTCTCTAATCAGTATAACTTTGAAAAAGCTGATTGAAAAGCAGTTAAAGAAAGAGTAAAACAGCTGAAATCTGAAAGACAGAGTGAGCTTTATTGAAATCAAAGTCAAGATATCTTAAATGAAATGCTTGAGAATAGAGCAAAGCTGATTACATCTATTCTTCTAACAAGTATTAAAGAAAATATTTCAAAGAAAAAGTCTTCTGAGTATTTCAAACCTTGATGAAATGAGAATATCACTTCTAAAAGAAAGCAATTAGTCACTGCTAAGAGAGAGTGAAAGAATAACTTAATATCTGATGAAGAGTTCAAAGCTATTTGAAATGAATATTTTTCAGATATTAAAAAAGTCAAAACAGATTACTAAAACAAATTTCTTAAAGAAGCATAAGAAAAAGAAGTTTTTAAAGCCTTTAACTATACTAAAACAAGAAGTGTAGCAAAGCTTTCAACCTTAGAATATGAATTTCAGAATGAATTGTATACAGCAAACTCTTCTGAGGAAAAATATCAAGCTTTTATGAGAATTCTCTTTCAAAACTCATCACATTTAGAAGAGAAGAATATGTCATTTCATGAATATATTGATGAAAATAACTGGGAATGGCCTGAGCTTACAGGTGATGAACTAGAGTCAGTAATATTCTCAAGTTCAATTAAAACTGCTGCAGGGCCTGATTCAATTAATTATTTAATTATTCAAAACACATATTTCTACTTGAAGAATGAATATTTTGAGCTCTTTTTCAATCTCTTAAGAAATGATTATCATTCTGAATGCTGGAGAGAAGCTACTGAAGTAATCCTTGCAAAACCTAATAGAAAAGCTTCAGTTTCTAAGTCATATAAAGTGCCCCGGTGGCCGAATGGTTAATGCGGCCACCTGGTAGCACCTTGGCGTGGGAAACCAAGGCGCGTGGGTTCGAAACCCGCAGGGAATACATTAAATCCGGAACTCAAGCACCTCAGGTTTCTAATAAATACAGAGGTGTACAAATCACTTCAATGAATTGCTCTATGTTCCTGAGCTGGGAAGTTATTATCGCATGTATCTAATTGTCACTTCTTTGTATTTTCCTATGTTCTTGTTATCTTGGTGTGGTCTCAACACCTGTATTTCCTCCTGTATAATCAACACTTGACCTGTATTTAACATCACGCAAGGACTCATCATAAGCTCCGCTTGCATATGAGTATAATGAAAGAATAATAATAATAATAATAAGTCATATAGAGTAATATCTCTGTTGAACTATTTAAGAAAAGTTCTAGAAAAGATAATAGTTACTAGATTATCTTTTATAAGCTCTATTAGTAATTCTCTTCTATTTAATGAATAAATAAGAGATAGAAAACAATATTCTGCAATTGACACTGTTCTCTCAGTTCTTTATAATATTTAAGTAGCAAAGCATGAAGACCTGGTCT